CCACAGGGTGTGGAGAACAGGGCTTCCCGTCCGCTCAGCCGTACTTAAGCCACACGCCGGCAGGTTAGTAGTTGGGTGGGTGACCACCAGCGAATCCCTGCTGTTGTATGTTTTTGCTATCTTTTCTTTTTGACTCGTCGGGTTTAGCGCCCTGAAGCCCTCTAAAATTCACTCGCCAAGTCTGTCCGCTGACGTGGCCTATTCTCGCAACTTTCGTCGGAAGTAAAGGCTCCAGGCTTCCGTGTTGCTTCCTGTCTCGCCACGTACAGCCGTGACATTTAGTGGCTTTGCTTTATTTTTCAGCCCTGTCTCTTCGATGGAACCAGCTGGGAGCTTTCGGGGTTTCTGCCGAGAGTCACCGCCGAACACTTCCCAATGACAGCTGGACGTGTTGGCATCATGACCGTACTGTGGCGATAGCGTTGACCTAGCTACTGCACGTAATTCCAGTTCCTGGATTCTCTATTAACTAACAATTAACCTTTCTGTTTAAAATGTCACAAATGAATTAGGAGCCGACAGCTAGAGTAGTAAGTATAAACCTATCTACATTACTAAAATAATTAATCTGTGATACTTGCTAGAGTATTTGTCTGTCCTTTTCTGGTACAGTGATTTGCGAAAGCAGTGTCACCCCCAAGGATGAAATCTTTGTCTTCTAAACTATATGCCAAGATGGCGCTTCACCTCTTTTGTCAGGGATCCCGAAAATCTATTTTAAGGTAGAGTATCGTATGGTATTAAAATCACATGACTCAAGATACAGTAATATTACACGTTTTGCCTATGTAAGCAATTAACTGAAGCCATGTTGCCAACTGTCAAGGTGCGGGCTGGCGGGGTGGTAGAGCTGATGGCAGGCAGGCGAGCAGGTAGGCTGATAGTCCACAATATCTCTGAATTGCTACAGGGTCAAGCTATCTACAGGCTTATAGACAAGACGTAGCTCGAAGAGCTACAACAGGATCTTCAGGCAGGCGGGAGATATGCGGATCCCGGAACGGATAATATAGCGTTCCGGGCCACGCCGAGGGGGTGCCTCAGGCACCCTAGGTCTGCACCGAGAAACCAACCCCCTCAAAAAACCCTGCTTAAGCGACCCTCCTGGTTAATTGTGACGGTCTACAAAGGAGCCTACTGCCTTGCATGACTGATGGTTGAGGTGAATTGGTATCCTAACGAGGGTATGCCTGCACCGTCCCGGCCTTAGCCAATGAGCCGTAACTCCTTGTCCCCCTGTCCTGTTTATTCGGTATCGCAGCAAGTCCAGCAGCCCTATAGCGCAGTTATTAGTTAGATAATAATCGTTTATAATGTTAAATCAGGTCGTCATAGTCGGAACATACGTTAGAAAGCTGGTTTTTCTCGGTATCAGGAGGGCATGCGAAGTCGTCCATACTATCATTGCACAAATTAAGGCAGTCGGTTTGGGCAAAGGCAGTGGAAACAGTTAAGGCAATAGTGGCGATAAAGATAGAGTAGAAATGCATCTTGATTGCTGGAGATTATAGAAGGTTTTTGGAAATATGTTGTGTGATTATTCTTGGGATATCGTCAGCGAGAATGTTCAAAGATGATATTTATATAATTTGAGCGCCTCGCCAAGACTGTAATATCCCTATGATTCTAAGAATTTCGCTAGAAATGTCACATAAGAGATATGATATCCAATAGCTCCAATGTAACCCGCAGATCCTAAAAGATCAATATAGGCATCGGCTGGCTGGCGACCCACCTCTGCGCATATGGCGGTGTAGGCGAACCATATTCAAATTCTATATTGTTTTTATAGACCCATCTTTTATATAGTAGCTTCCTTAATCATTTGCTGAGCAATTTGTTACGACACTAGCCCAACCAACTTGTTGAGAGCGGCTGAGCTAGGCAGAGCGAGGAGTTGCCCACAACCAATGAACCCCGCAACAAACAACTGCTCTGGCGCTCACGCCATTCCGGCAGGAAACGTATGACTTTTATGGCCATTAATTACACAATCTGGTTCTGCTTCAACAAAACAACAAATAAAGAATGACAAAAATACGAGTAACACGAGTAACACGAGTAATAAGATCAACTCATGGCCAGCTCGGAATTTCAGTGGCTATAACGCCCTTCATTTCTCCCACAACTGTGACCCCACCCTTAGTTATCCCGGCCATGGAACCCGCTTTCTGATGATATGCAACATGAATAGTAATGCTGATCAGAAGTCGGGAACTTCAGCTATGTACTCTACACAGGCGATAAACGTCCTAAGCGAGATTCTCTGTGGGGCATACGATTCAGGCAACTAAAGGCTGTCGATAGATCGTCACTGCAGACCCGGAGTTGCGGATCAGCCAAGAGCACTGTGGATCTGTCGATCTTTCCCGATCTTTCTTGATTATTGACTGATCTGCCTAGTCGGGGCATGCAGAGCATGGAAAGGATCGGTATAGGTTCCTAGCTTTAGCTGCATGTGTCTTTCTGAAGCTGCATAACCGAAGTGCCCGGTTCAGCTTGTTACTGAGATTCCGAGTAATATTAGCCTGTATCATCAACATAGGGTCTGCATGGCTGAATGATGTGGATTGAAAGGGAGAGCTGGAATACTCTACCTAAAATGTCACTGAAAAAAGTCTGCATGCTAGTCCTGATTTGATTCCAGTAGTCCTAGTTCGGATTAGCTAAGATGATAATTGTGTCTACCGATAATATCTTATCGTCGAATATTTGCGATGAAGATATTCGCAACAGCCCTATGACCATGCGGTGCGCCTCTTATCCAAACGGACCTCTTGTGCAACGCAATTCATGATACACAATGGGCCGAAATCTGTTTCCGCCCCGCAGAGATGAGCTTATTTCTAAATTCTAACGCCAAGGCGCTAGCTAATGTTCTAACGTATTTCACGGGTGATCCGGCCACCCCCCCTAAATCTCTCCGCTTCAACCAACGCGTCTACTTTGCTCAACCACCATGCCACGAAAAAAAAGCGGATTACGCTCTAAAAGAATAGAAAAAGATGGTAGGATCCAACTTGCAATCCAAGCTTTTAAAAATCGCGAAATTCCTTCTATAAGTGCAGTGGCGAAAGCTTTCGATATACCGCGTGGTACATTGCAAGACCGATTAAGAGGTAGCGAATTCCAACAAGAACAACGCAACCACAACCTCCGGCTATCTCAAACTCAGGAGGATCATTTAGTGCAATGGATAGTATCCAGGGATACGCATGGCTACCCCCCTAGGCATAATCACGTACGAGAAATGGCGAATTTAACCCCCCAAACCTATCGGGTCAAACTGGGTAACCAACTTTATCGACAGGCACCCAGAGCTCAAGTCTAGGTTCTCTAGACGCTATAATTATTCCCGCGCTTTATGTGAAGATCCTAAGATTATTGGGGAGTTCTTTAGTCAACTGCAGAAGATCTGTAAGGACAACGGGATCCTGACTGAAGATATCTACAACTTTGATGAAACAGGATTTGCTATGGGATTAGTGGCAACTGCTAAAGTTGTTGCTAGGTGCGAAATGCCTGGAAAGCCATGGCTTATTCAACCAGGAAATCGAGAATGGGTAACGACGATTGAATGCGTCAACGCCAGGGGATTCGCATTACTGACTACTATTGTCTTTAAAGGCAAGATGCCAATCGAGGGATGGTATAGCGGTTGCCTTCCAGAGGATTGGCGTATTGAATTATCATCAAACGGGTGGACAACCGATGAAATAGGCTTGAGATAGCTTCAAAAGACCTTTATTCCTACTACAACTAGGCGTACGGTTGGCCGATATCGATTGCTGGTCTTAGACGGCCACGGAAGTCATTTGACACCTGAATTTGATGCAATCTGCAAGGAGAATAACATTATTCCTATATGTATGCCTCCTCATTCGTCTCATCTCTTGCAACCCCTGGATGTTTGCTGCTTTGGACCTTTAAAAAAGGAATATGGGAAATCTGTTGAGGATAGATCTCGCCTCGGCAAACACCATATCGACAAATTCGACTTCTTAGAGGCCTTCCCTGCGGCCCAGCGAGCCATTTTATCTCCTCAGAATATTCAGAATGGCTTTATAGCAACAGGAATAGTCCCTTTTGATCCTCAACGCGTGCTTGATAAGCTTAATACGAGAGTTTTGACCCCGGATCCCCCCCATACGGGGACTCGATCTTCCACTACCTCCTCGCTTACCATACCTCGCACGATTCGCCAGCTACACCGGAAGGCCTCTACGCTTCGCAGTAATATACGAAATCTAGATATTAGTGTGCTTGAGGCATCAATCGCGCGTCTAGAGCAGTTAGAAAGGGGCTTTGAAGTGTCCCTATACAGCACGCATTTTATAGCTTAAGAAAACCGCCTTCTACTCCAGGAAGTTGCTCGTCAGCAGCTTAAAAAGAAGCGATCTAGACGTCAAATGTCATCTAATCTAGGTGCTACAGTGCAGGAAGCAAGGGATTCAATTACATTGAGAAATTAGCAGTTGAATACTACAGACCGTCCTCTTAGCAATACTGCTCCGGAGGCTTCCTCCGCGCCAAGAAGGCGTCCACCGACGTGTTCTAATTGCAATACTCCAGGTCATACTAGAACTAGATGTCCTGTATCTAGAAATAATTGAAATATTTTATAATTCGTTAAATTGGGTTGTTGGGAATAGATTCAATTTGATCGAGCGTATCGGAATTCAGTGGGGTGGCCGGATCACCCGTGAAATACGTTAGTTAATTTAGTTCATCTGCGTATTATTTGAGAGTTTTAAATATATTTAGGTTATTACGTTGCCGGATGGAGACTCGTGCATGAAATGGCACCTTGGCGTTAGGGTCCAGAAATAAGCTCGCCTCTACGAGGCGGAAACAGGTTTCGACCCAGGGTGTAATAGTGCCCTCTTGATGTCTCCATAAGGTATCCTCTTAAGCTGGTAACCTATTTAAAGAGCCACTTTTGGCCACTTACCGAAAATTATCAAAACAACCCTCGTTAGCGACTAAAGCTGGGCGCAAACATGGGCTATAAGTCTTCATCTAAACTTGAATTTCTCAGGCCAGTCAAACATGCGAACGATTCTGGCCTCACAGAGAAAGCCCCCATGGACCTTGCAAACTACAATTTCCTTCTAACAGGAATCACCAGAGAAGTTGACCAAAAGGACAACTCTGTTACTATTGACCCAGTTGCATTACAACTGCCATGGCCAAGTTCCTTCCCTGCCGCTCGTCAGAGCAAATACTGGCTAGAGGCAGAAGCTGCAGGTAAGGACCTTTTGCAGCAGGTTAGGGAAGCCTCATGCTCTCTGCCAGGAAGATTACCCGAAAACTTCAGCCAGCCTTTGCCCCATCGTGAACTTTCAGTCATGGAACTGGACAGAGTTGCAAATGCATCAGGTTGCGCGGTATATATGCATCCAGACTGCGGCAAAACGGAGGTTTCCATAATCTCAAAGCTAGATCATCTTATATGGCTTCACGACGGTATGCAACTATATGCTGAAATTAGAGGAATCTATGATTACTGACTGTGCTCACTCTCTAACAGATGTTGTTGAAACTCAGAGTTTTGACAGTTCTGTGAGTCTCAAATAATCCAAGACCCGCCCATTGACTGACATCTCCTTAAGGAATCTACAATCACAGAGATCATTGTACGATACTGGCCAGAAATTTTGGTTAATCCTCAATCCTTCCACGCATATTCTGGAGACTGGTTTGTGAAGCTAGCACTAGAAATTATGAGTGCAAATACTCAGGGGCCAGGTTTAATGCGGGCATTCTTTTCTTGGATGGGTGCTACGAGATTAGAAACTAGAGAAGACTTCACCTCTTTGAGGGAATACCTTGACTATCGCGCTGTTGATATTGGACAAGAGTAAGATCTGGACCTAAAAATGTACTGCGTCATTTACTGATATCTCACAGCTACATATTTGCCTGCGTGCGATTCAGTGAGAACATTCAGCTTTCGAAAACTGAGGAAGATCCCCTGGGGAAACTGAAAAAGCTTTCAATTGATCATATCATTCTTGTAAACGACTCCTTTTCCTATGAAAAGGAGATACAAGATTCGAGACGTCACAAATCCCCATGCATTAATGCGATCAAATACATCGGGGACACCTTGGCAATTGAGAAGAAGTCGGCAAAGAAAGTTGCTGGTTGTCTTCTTCGAACCTTGGAAAGTCAAATATGTGAAGAGTATAAGCAATTGCAAGACTCCGAGGTACTGAATTTGTCGCAGGTTAGGTATGTATATGCTATTATTAAGACGACAGTAGGTAATTTGGCTTTTTCTATTACTACCCCGAGGTATAGCCTGTGACAGTCCCGATATCTCAGGCCGGACCATAGTTACGTGACTATTGATCACGTCCTGTCGGGGTGGAAGAAGTTTTGGTAAGAATTCATAGCTCGGAGGTAGACTATCTAAATTGCTGATTGTTTAGTTAGCTTGCCCCTATAGTTAAATTGCCAGATAGGGGCTATACAGTAATTCGGACCTTTGTTGCGACTTCCATTGGTTGAGCCATATATCTACTACATCCTGAGTTCCGACAGTGCTTAATCCGGAGGGAGACGCTCGGATGCAAGCATTGGATACAGTCCGTATAAAATGTATACCGAGAAATATCGTTGCCTGTCATATACCGAAAAGATTGTTTACTGACTACCCCATTAGAACCTATAAAATCATGCGATTGGGGTTTGGAAACAACTTTCTCTCTACAGCACATGGAATGCAGTTTCAGGTGGCTCTGTATTAGGAAGATCACTAGCAATTGAACTGGCCGGTACAGTAAAATGAGATATTGCTCTTCAACTCATGCGTCTTCCCTGGATTCCTCGATAGTTACACTGGAATGTCGAAAGTGGGCTTCTGCACTGGCCTTTTTAGCTCCAACAACTCAGAGAAGAATTCCGCAATGAGGTTTAGGTTTAGTGAATATAGTGGTAGATACAATAATCGAACCCCGGCTTCAGAGCGCATCTCCCTAAACTTCGGCAAAACCTATTTTGGGTCGGAGCTTCCGTCCCAAAACCCAACCCAATAACACAATGGGTAACCCATTGGGTTTTTTTGGGAACCCAATATAACCCAATTTTGTATAATATTTGGTCTTGGCGTTCATAACTCTGCTCATTAAGTATTTGTAGACAGTCAAGTGTTCTCCAATAGACTTCCGGTATATCGTACGCTAACGATTATCCCAATTATCTGTTTGAAAGAATTGGAACTTATTCGCTGGAGCGAGCATTGTAGTGATTGCATAAAGATGCCCTCGTACGTTATCTGTCTCGGAGTAATATTTATCAAGCTTCTTACGAGCGGTTTAGAACGCCTGAAGTATCTGTCGTTTCCAGAGAATCTTCTTCAGCGTTAGCTGGGTAATTGATAGCTCAAGGTACTCAAACAGCTTATTATAAATTAGGAATACATGATGCTTAGTAGCATCCCGTATCTTTGATAGTTCAACTGTAAAATCAAAGAAAGGCTGAGCGATAAAGAGAAGGTAATCAACCTAGCGCCATTCTTTATTATCGATTACTATTAATCAATCTATCAATCAAAATTCTATTAACCTGATGAAGCCTATCTATTGAAACGACAGGCTATGCAGGCGCTTCGCCGAATGAAGCAGAATCTCGAGCCCTTACGCCATATAAACCCACAAACGCAGCAGATAAATCAAAAATTAACGCAGCTAAACCGGCTGCCACTCGCCTGCTGCAGCCTACTGCATCTCCTGACGCTGTCTCTCCTTCCGCCTCGTTCAATATAGGTGGTTCGTGAGTGGTATGCGCCACTGTTAGCGGCCTAACCCAGGCCGCCCCCTAAAGTTCCATGTAGCCATCGTCTTTCTCGCCTAGTTCGAGCCCTTCTAGCAGGTTGGTAAGTTCTGGAGCCTCCTCCTCGTCGTCCTCGTCCAGTTGAGCGAATCGGAATTGTTGAAGGAGGCCTGTTTGTTGCATAAATTCGGCGACGTAGCGGATCGCCTGCGGGTGTGCTATAACTGCGTCGTAATCCTGTATACGCCCACGCAGTCCCTCTATCTGATTGAGGTGATCCATCATTATTTCTGTTAAGAAATCAGGCGCCAATCTCCATCAGCAAGCCTTACGCACCCTCATTCGAGCCCCACTCTTTTTTCACAAACACCGATACCGGGGTTGTCACGAATCTATTCTCCCAGGATCTCAACCTGATCGACACCGAACTCCCATAAGCAACGCTTAACACTCTATTCCGTGCATCCCAATCAATCGGCCAAGCAGCCGTTATGCTTACCTTGTCCGCCTATCTAGCAATCAGCTACCCAATCCTAGGCGCATTACTATACCTTGTGCAGAGGTACTATCTCCAAACGTCGCGGCAGCTCCGATTACTAGACCTAGAGGCCAAAGGTCCCCTCTACACGCATTTCCTCGATACACTTAAAGGAATCGCCACTCTTAGGGCGTTCGTGTTTATCTCAGAGGATATACAGAAGAACGACCGTTTAATTGATTCCAGTCAACGCGCCGCGTATCTCCTCCCCATGGTCCAGGAATGGCTCAGTCTGGTCCTTAATCTTATCGTTATGGTCATTGCGGCCGTCATGACTACTCTTGCTGTTCATTTGCAATCTAGCTCGGCCTTCGCCGGTGCATCGATGTACTCGCTTATGTCTTTTTGGGAGAGTCTCTCAGGTATTGTAGTCTACTACACTAGGCTGGAGACCTCTATCGGTGCGATTGCTAGACTGAAAGCGTTCAACGACACGGTCACACCTGAGGGTCGTGAAGGGCCAGGGGAGGAAGACATTATCCCGGATGAGAGCTGGCCGGATCGTGGGCTAGTCGAGTTGCGCGGCGTATCTGCCCGTTACAAGTCCACTGCCGTGCCTCAGTCTGAATCTGAGTCTGACGTCGAATCTGGCCCCGAGACTAACTCTTCTCTGGCGCTAAATAACATTCATCTAACCATCCAACCCGGAGAAAAGATCGCCATCTGTGGCCGCACCGGCAGCGGCAAATCCAGCCTTCTCGCTCTCCTGCTTAAAATCCTCGATCCCCTCTCCTCGTCAACCGATTGCAATGACCAAGAACCACCAATCCTGATTGATAACATCCCCTGCACCGCATCCACCGGGCGACTCTCCGCCAACGCGTCATCGCTGTACCCCAGGACGCCGTCTTCCTCCCCGACGGCACTTCCTTCTGCACGAACCTCGACCCGACGAATACCGCTACCCCCGAGGAATGCCAGAAAGTCCTCCAAGCAGTCCGACTATGGCCTTCCGTTCAAGAACGAGATGGTCTGCATGCCCCAGTCACGATGGGGACATTCAGTGCCGGTCAGAAGCAGCTCTTCTCGTTGGGATGTGCAGTACTCCGTGCCATGATCTGCCAGCGCTCGACGCATTCTTCCACTCCCAATGAAGACCGAGGAGGAATCCTTCTCCTAGACGAAGTAAGCTCAAATGTGGATCGGGAAACCGAGCGAATGATGCAGGGGATCATCCGGGAAGAGTTCAAGCAATATACAGTTATTGCAGTAAGCCATCGGCTGGATATGATTATGGATTTTGATCGGGCAGCGGTTATGGATCGGGGGGGGGGGGTGGAGATTGGGAATCCGGTGGCGTTGAGAGCGTTGAGTGGGAGCCGGTTTGAAGAGTTGGTGACCGCTGCTGGCGTTTAGGAATTGGACATTTTTGTAATAATGTTGTGTCTAATTTGCATTCGTTTCAAATTGACCGCGACTATTGTCGAGGACTTCATCGCTTTCTAGAAAGCGTACTCTTGAGGATGCCGGTCTCGAGGTCTCGACCAGATAACGCATCTTTTATTCCGCCTACTCTTCGTTTCTGTTGCCCTTTCTTTTCCTTCATTTCATTTGTTTTATTCTAGGGCTTATCCACGGGTAAATCTGCGCTCTAGGGTCATCGTTTTCCTTTGTTTTTAGTTTCGTTTTTCTTGTTATCTACTTGTGTTTGGTCTGCTGCCGGACAGCGCCACGGTTAAGATTAGTCTCAAATGGAGCAAGGTGGTTCCTTGAAACGTTTCCCTTGTTTACAGACGTCTAATAAGTTACCTAAAGGCATCCAGGTAAGTCCATGAAAAGATACTCGCCGTCATTCTATGCCCGTACACAGGGGTAGATATCAGTCTGTATTGATATGATTCCCTGGGGCATGTTCTCACGCCCTCGCTATACTATAGCTAACACAAACTTCAACAAAATTATTTGAAAAATTAACCCATCGCTTTTTGGTAGTGTGTGAGTTTCGAAAAGGTTTGCAGAGATATACTCCGACTGGGAGACTGTTTCTGATGCCTGAGGCACTCAGCCAAGCTAACACTAAAGCTCCTAGGAAGGACATCACGATTACTTGGCAATTCTTCAACCACCGACTTCTCCGCTCAGTATTATCATTTACCCCTCATCTACCTCGGTCCTATCTGAGCATACTTAGCACTGATGCTTCCTCGTCGACCAATTCTTTTCATCATCACTGGCTCATTATTATTTGTTTCTCTTCTCTGGCTTCATCCCTTCTCATTTTCTACCACATCTCTACAGCATCTAGCTCAAACAACAAAACCAAACATGTCAATCACGCATCTTGTTCTTTTTCAATTCAAATCAGAAGCCAGCACCGAGGCTATCAAAGACGTATGCTACCCCCTTGATCACGTATGTTGAGGAATTTACATGGACTAATTCAAAAGGCCTGTAACCGAATGCTTGCCCTGCGAGATAAATGTCTCCATCCGTCATCGCAGAAGCCATACATCCAAACATCATCAGGTGGGCGTGATAACTCGCCTGAAGGTATGCAGGTAAGTTGGAAAGAAGCCAATCATCATCTTTCCGTGCCCGTCGTGTATAAAACTTTTTTTGGTTTAGACTTCGCTAACTATATTAATCTATGAAGGGTGGCATTACCCATGCCTTCGTGGTAGAATTCGCTACTACGGAAGATCGTGACTATTATGTAGCGAGGGATCCAGCCCATCAGGAGTTTGTTCGAAGCCTAGATGGACTGATTGAAAAAGCTCAGGTCATTGACTTCACCAATGGTTTTTTCTAGTGTGGAATAGAGTAAACGGTTTGTCTAGTCTTGCACATATATCATAGGTTTTGTAATAGGCAGCTATCAATTATCATAAACTTCATAGTTATCTTTACACAGTTGAGAAAGAGGGTTAGGGCCACATAATGATATATTGCTTTAAGTAGCCAAAAATTTAAGCAATTTACAACTAACTAGCATCATTGGTCTAGTGGTAGAATTCGTCGTTGCCATCGACGAGGCCCGTGTTCGATTCACGGATGATGCATTTTTGTTTTTTTGCCTTCCCATAAGAAGTGGAATTTTACTGGAGAGGAGAAGGCCCATTTCTTTTTTCCCCATCATTACCAAAAGTTGGTTTAACCATATAGACTCGCGATCGAGTTCCGTGATCCAGAAGTTTCCGAATAGCATCCAGACTGAAGTGCTCTGAAGGGGGCGGACAGGACGTCTAAGCTCAAACTATATATATATAAAAAAGTACATAATTCCAGAAGATAATTTCGATACAACTTATATTCAAAGTATACGTTGGACTATCCCTCCTTATAACTTCTCTGTTAGTAGTATTAGCTCTAAGAGGACATCCTGACATGTGTAAAAAAATTACCAGTTACCCCGCCGGCAAAATAGGAGGTATACAACAGTCAGGAACTCAAGATGAGTACGGCTGAGCGGACGGGAAGCCCTATTTCCCACACCTTAATGATCGTATATAGGAAGATATAAAAAAGAATAGCATGTCCTGGTTTCGATCCAGGGTCCTCCGGGTTATGAGCCCGGCGCTCTTCCCCTGAGCTAACATGCTGGGATTGTTGTCCAAGGTACTTTGCATTGCATACTTGTTGGGTAAATAAAGGTCACAGCTGTTGACCTGGGCAGCTTTCTCTATACCCTTGCCTACGATTTGATTTACAATGTTGAGTTGACGAGGTGCGGACGGGCCGTAAATCAAATTGTATATTTTATTTTTATATTTTATTTTATTTTTAGGCTCCTCAATTCTAACTAGATATCATGAGCCGACACTTTCCCAAGATATGTCCCATTTTTGGACTTCAGTTGGTGAATACAGGTGACCTGACCTCAGGTCAGGTGGACCTTGAAAAAGTTGAGATGGACGCCCCACCTGTCTTGGCACTCCCAACCTCCCATATCAGCTTTTAAATACTGTTTCGCATTCCATGAATTTCAATTTATAGTTCGCAGAAGCTTATCCTATGTCTAGATTTGTTTGTACCCACTGCCTAGTCCCGGTGTACTAATTACAGACAGTTGCGTGTGGATTTGGCATTTATCGATGCTCTAGAAAGTAAGTTAGTTTTACGCTCACCGATTGAACCTGAGGGTAAATTAATTCTGAATTCATAGCTCTGAATCGAATCTTTGAGCTGGTTGGGTTCTCAACTTCTGTCATGGCAATGCAGAACTGGACCAACTGGAAAAATGTGACGCAATTGCAATAGAAGGTTTCAGTTTACATTTATGGACTTGATGTTTTTTACTTATACATGTCTTTATAAAAATGATAGATCCAGCTAATCCACCCCTAGACACCACCTCAAGCGATCATAAACAAAGAAACTGATCGCCACCGTCGGCACATCCTTAATAAACCCAATCGTCAACCCAACATAGAACCCCCGTATCCCTCTCTCCGTGAAGATAATTCTCGCCGTTTCCGGAATCCTTCCCTGACGGTTGACCTGCATGCGCCGCCGGATAATCTCAAGGGGATAACAGAATGTCTGCGCCGCCAGACCCGCCAGACCCCCGGACAAGAGCTCTGCGCCCGCAGTCAATCGAACCTGCTTGGTTGATCCATGCGGACTGTGTTCGGGTGGTGCAAGAGCCATATACGGCGCCAGCGCTGGAGACCGAAACCAATCTCCGATCAAGTCATGAGCTAAGAACGACATTCCGGCATAGGGTACAACTCCTAACAGCGCGGGAACATATCCGCGGTAGAAATTCGTGACCGCAGAGCAGGAACTCGACCCACCATGATGGTAGATTTGGTTACAGATAGCAGCTAGTGACGTGCGCTGAATCTGCACTGCCAGGTTCACTCGAACCAGTTCAAAGGGGTACGTGCAGGAAGTTGAAATCGCTCCGGCCAGACTGCCCGAGATGAAGCGACGGATTGGAGTATCCTTATCGGGTCCAGAGATCAGGACGTTTCGGAATTGGTCGTATGCGAGAAAGTTGATGGCAGCGTAAGGAAATATCCGAAGTAGCATGAGCGAATGGCCTTGAAAAAGAGCCTTATTCCCGTAAGACTTGCGGATGATTTGGATAGCTTCAAAGACGCCCAGCCGTCGAGCTGTGTGGTGAGCGAAGCCCGGCTGGGCCGTTTGAAAGAGCACTTTTACTCGTTCTAGCGGCGCAACTACTGTTTTCGCCTTATTGATCGCCAGGTGTCTGTCAGCTGTGGTGAACGCGGTTCATCCCTTGTTTGGCCTCGGAGAAGAGATCCTGGCCTACCGTGCATCCGGCCAGTCCTCCTGCCAATCCCTTTCGCCACAGTTGGCTGATCCTATCGCCTTCCGCCGGTAGATCTTCTTGGAGCATGCTGTGAGCAGTTTTTGCCGCTGGACGGGATTTCCGTAAGTTCGGCAATCCCCTAGGGTCAAATAGTCAGCACTGGCTTGATGCCCGAAAACAGCATCCCTAGACTTGATAACATTCCAGAGGTCCCACAGTATCAGAATTCCCAGCAAATCATGAACACAAGGAGAGCGCAAAATACACAGGACTATCCACAGAGTCCCTCCGATACAAATTTACTCGTCTAACGCCGTCAGCCCCGACGAGATGGACCAGACCACTCAGCTTGTCAATGTTCCAAAGGTCAAGAATTGGGGACTGTACACGCAGTATGACGGCAGAGCTGATTTTTATTCTCATTCTCTATGAATTCTCTTGCATTGATTTCTTGCACGTATACTGAATTGTCTTCTCAAGTCTAGATAAGCGGTTTGATACTAGACTAGAGGCTCTTCTCCTATGTACCAGCTCCTATACTTTCTTTCACGTCGCTGAAATATGATCGGGACAATTTGCACTGGAGGTCGACTGGCTATGCGAGCTCCTGAAACATTGAAATGGGGGGCATGTTAAAATAGTCGCATGCCATGGTTTCGGCTTGGGATATACCTCTGAATATTGAGTCTCATTCCCAAGTTCTTCTTCTGGTAAATCTTTAGCTCCACAGAATGCACCAACACGATATAAGACGAATTGCATGTCCAGCAATTCAAAGACAGACGAGGCAATAGTTCAAGAACGGTTATTCCTCCAAATAGTAAGTCCAATCGTATGGTTGCTCTTCAATAACATCTGCGGCACCACATAATGAAGCAACGCAATGCAAAATCCATTGCATCTCGAGGATATCCGATGAAGGAAGTGACATAGCCATAATGCCACCGAGATCAGAAACAATCCATAAATGTGGAATCGCCCTCCTTGCTTCTGATATCGAAAGAAGGAATTGACATAGCTACTATACCACCGAGACCAGAAACAATCTATAAACGTCAGAGACAATATCTCAAAAAGTGACATGTCTTTAAACTCAAAGTCCACATCGCCTAGTTCCTCTTCGGTGACGTTTGCCGCACCATAGAATGAAGCAACGCGATGAAGAACCCACTGCATCTCTACCCCTGGACAAGTCTAGCTTGCCGTGGGCATAGTGTTCATTGCCGCGTGGCTTCTCCCGGCTGCCTGGTTCAAAATATACCAGTTCCGTCGAGTTACAGAGTCTGGTCTATGGACTACAGGTCGTTATAACCAGAAAGCGGCCATAATTTTCGAGGATGTTCGTGTTCCGAGTTCAATTCAGCCATTTTGTATGCACCCCATGAGATTTTGCTGGGTAGCAATGGTCACCACAACACCACAGAATATAACATAGTCCGCGACTCCAGACCATCACTGCGTTGAAGATCTCGTGCCTTATAGTGCTCGATTCAACTTTTGTCAACGCATACCTATATCCCGAATTAGCACAGAAAGCTCGACTCCCGTGTTTAGAATCCATACAACCTAAACTGATGAATGACCAAGCGCGTCCCTTCCCTTCCATATGGGCGTATAATGCTCTGCCGGATTGATTGTCGAGAAAGGATAGCATCATGTCAACCGTATGTGACCGCTAGTCACATAGGAGACCTTCCTATTCCGGACATCGGTATTGGTAACTACCGATCCCCGAGGATTATGCAGATTTTTCTGATATTTCCACGGTTCAAAAGTTATGTCTCTTCTAGCTGCCTTTTTGGGCTAGATTGCTTATCATTATTCTTGTGTTTAAACCACCGTTTGCAGCTAGATTGAAAGAATCAGACCTTCATCATTCGATATTCCTAAGGGTACATTACTAGCAATTACGCCTAGAGAGACGGCTAACAAAAGGGTTGCAGACTTCTGTGGCTATAACATGGACTTGCTCTGTGGCTTTGTGAAGACCATCATTGCTGCTAGGGTTCTAATTGCCTTACTGCGCTAGATTGGGTAAGTTGCGCTCTTGAGAGATAAGTGGCATATATGTCTGACCATTGTTAAGCACCCTCGCTGGTCTCGCTGTTCCCTTTTCGCTAGAATCAGTGAACCATGTTACAACAAGATACTTGTTCAGGTTCCTCGAAGCGCGGAAGGGTACAATCGAGATTGATGATCTTAATATTTTATAGATTACCTTGTATAATCTGCATAGTCTCTTAGCTATAATTCCTTAGAACCCGGTTCTGTTCTCTGGAGCTGTTTGATCTAAATTAGATCCATTCGACGATTATCCCAATCATATACTCCTGCAAGCTCTGAAGCAGATTAATTCTAGCTAAGCCACATCAAGTGAGGTCTCTTCTACATCTGTTTCCTGAAATCTTCATTCTCCCGTGTCGCGAGGAGGCACCAACCTAAGCCAAGGTGAGAAGTAACAGCTCTGTCTTTTACGAGCTATGAATACGCATCTCTTGTTTTATATGAAGCGACGAGCGCCGTGGACATGGAAACTGATTCCCTGGTGCAGTACACCATTTGTAGGGAGTTTTAAAATGCCACACTGATCGTCATTGCGCATAAATTAGTATTGTGGCCGCCTTCGATAAGATTCTGGTCATAAGTGATCGTCATGTCATTGAATTCGGTCCACTAGGCGTAATGGCATGAAAAGATAGTGCATTTCGCTGCATGGTCAAGGACAGTAAGGAGGTCGCGCTGCAAAGCCTGTTACAGTAGAGGTCCTCCTGGTGGTGTATATATACCGCCACCTAAGGTCCAGCCATTTGATATATATGACTTATATGAATATAACTGAAGGTAAAAAGTGCATTACGGGCCTCTATATGAGTTGTCGGTGTAAAAAAGCAGAAAAAGCTATAAAATATGTACTACTTTTGAGTTACCATTTCCAATCATATAGTTTTGAAAGACTCAGTGACTTCAACAATACGACTCGAGTGCTGATCACTGCTCTACATGTTGATAGCTAAGCCCAACACATCACAGTCCTGCCTTGGGAGTTGTGACCGTAGCACCTGCATCCACCGTTATAACCGTCCCGTTAATGTAGCTAGCACCGGGGCTACACAGGAACACAATTGCATCAGACACTTCTTCCGGGAAAGCGCCTCTCTTCAAAGGACTCAGAGCCTGGACCATCGCCCCTAGTTGCGGCACACGCTTCAAGCTGCGCTCCATCATGGGTGTCTGGGTCCACGCCGGGCATACAGTATTGACGCGGATGTGGTGAGGAATATTATCCATTGCTGATTGAGTGACGGGTGTTCATAAGTTCTCTTTCATTGCGACTAAGTGTTCAAGAAGCAAGGGAAAGGAGAGCTCACCAGCTGTTTTAGCCATTCCAAGCACCGCCCACTTTGATGCGCAGTAGGATAGCATCCCCGGGGCCGCCATGATTGAATTAATCGAGCCTACCACCACGATTGATCCGCGCCCGAGACTCCTTGTGCCTTCTGCTCGGAGGTTTTTGTGCTCGCGCGGTTCCTGCTTCGCCATGGCTGCAGAGACGGCGCGCAGAATGAGCATCGTGCCTCGTGCGTTTATCGACAGCGTCTGGTCGAAGATATTGGGCTTTACATGTTCGGTCGTGGCGCCGGAGATGTTTCCCATCTAGAGAGTTGCATATTCAAGTGGTCGTTAGTAAGTATTAGGGAGCTCCTTGAGGAGACATAAGCAGAGGTATAGGGACCTACCCCCGCGGAGTGAACGCAGTAATCAATGCGACCGAATTCCTTCACTGCCAACTCCACTAAAGAATCGACGCTTGATTCGTCGGCTACATCGGTCTGTACAGAAATGGCGCGTAGATTGGCATGGGTCGCGAACGTGCGGCTCTCTTCGACGACAGCGTCGGCGGGTTCCAAATCGGCCAGAACGAGGCCTTCGACGCCGGCTTGTGCTAGAGCCAAAGCTGTGTCACGGCCGATGCCCGACGCAGCCTGGACATGGACATGTCAGGAGGACGGGAAAACCAATAAATAAAGCAAGAGGTAGGGGTGAATATTCAACATACACCCGTGACAACAGCAATGCCACCCGGCAGTAGGGAGGTTGGAGCAGCCATACTATACTATTCGCAATGGTGATTAGACTAGTAAGGTTCAACAGCCCTAAGAAGCAGAGTTCGCTCTACTTATTTATTTAACATATTCTCCGACCCTTTGTGAAACTCAACCACAATTCCCCTGAGTCTGACCCGGACTGTGACACTGCGAGGTAAACGATGGTGGTCAGACGGTGCCCTCCCATCTCACCAACACCCCTTTGAAAGGCTGAAATACGGGTCTGTCCAGGGTCCCTTGCAGGCTATGGAACTTGGCCAGCCATTGCGCTGCTTGGCTACGCTACAGAATTCGATCTCCCAAGCCCTCCAATCATTCTACGGCAAACAGCCGGGGGTATGTTTTATTTGCCACGTCAGCGCACAGCCGATGATCTTATCCGCGCTGTTTTGGCAGTATTTTACAAGAAATTATCCGGAGAGAACCCGGAGACCCCTGTATACAACTTGACGCCAAGCGACGCGGGCGACGAGGACAGACAAAGGATGGCCATTCCAACTAGTCCGGACAAGGCAAAAAGGGACCAGCATTAGTGCGAGAACCAAGGATTAATTAGCAAATGGGCCCCCACTTGGGTGCCATGAATCATTAATCTATTTTTCCCTCAAACATTCCAGATAGCCGACTACACCATCCTTGTCGCGGCCAAGAAACGAGGCTGAGGCTATTCAACACGGATGTAACCCAGTCAGTCCATGCACTGCAGCGCTAAAAATGCCTCGCTCAGTCTGTGAAACCAACGCTCCCAGTCAGACCATCACCTGCTGTTTCTGCCACATTAGCCCCGACGCGATGACCTGCCCCCCGGCGAATCCGGCGAGGATTTTCATCTGCAGGTTATAGCCGGCTGAGTACACTTGGCGGACGAGATCTTGGGTGTCGGGGGAGAGCGACGTGAGCATCTCCGTGGATTGGAGAATAGCATCCACTTGGCTGGGTGGAAGCTGATGTCCGAGTCGCGACCGTAGCAAAGCCTGCGAAGCGGCTGTGACGATGGCGAGGCAGATCGTGCCGCCCATAACACGGAATTGAGCAACGGTGCCCATGGCGACGGCTGAAACAGTTAGCAACACATTATGGACTTGGCGAAAGGGAGGTTTGGCTTACCTTTGTCTTGCGGTTCGATTGTAAAGGGTGTCATGAGAACTAACAGGGCGATGTTGATACCGCAACCATAACCCGCGAGAATTTGAAAGCCATACTGCTTGGCGGCGATGGTCACAGAATCCGACAAAGTCGATAGAAGTGCGTAGGCGATTACCTGGATGAAGGAGGCTGCGATGACAAAATACAAGACGGGAATCTTAAAGATCTTAGACAACATCGGGGCCATGATGGACCCGATAGGCGCCGCCACCGTGAAAGGGATGAAGCGGATGCCGGCTTGCAGGGGAGAGAGGCCATTCACGATCTGAAAACGCTGGGGAAGCTGGAAAATCGTGACGAACCATGTCCCTCCGAGGCAGATGGCATTCCTGACCCGTTAGCATTCGGTTGGCAAACTCAGAGCTATGGCAAGCATACAGCAACATTCCCATCCACACGCGGTTCTGCGCGAATCGCCAGGGAAATACGGGCTCGACAAGGCCTTTAGAAAGTGTAACGCGCCGCTCCCACAGTAGGAAGATAATCCAAGCAAAGCCGGATATGACCAGCATCACGATTGTAAAGGCGGATCGCCAGGCGAATTCCCGGTTGGCCTCCTCGAGCGGTGCGGCCAGACACACGGTGGCGATCAGGAGTAGACTCGAGCCGATGAAATCGAGCCGTCGAAGACCTCCCAGCAGAGAATTTTTGAGAGAAACGTCGGTCGTCCGAGGTTTGTGGTGGTTCGGGAACCGGTTAGGGATCATGAAAATGATCACCAGCCCGGCCAGGGCGGCGGGTGGTAGACTAAATCAGTCAGTTTAAAGAAGAGAATCAGCTCTCGAAGGGACATACTTCAACCAAAAGATCCATCGCCAGTTGGTCTCCGAGATAGCACCTCCGAGAATCGGTCCCAGAAGCAAGGAGATAGCGTAGACCACGGAAAGCGAACTGGTATACAGCGCATACTTCGCGGGAGGAACAAGTTCTAGCACGATCGTCGTACAAAGCGAGTAATTGCCGGCGCCGCCAATGCCTTGGAAAGCGCGAAAAATAATCAACTGGCTGATGGTTTGCGCGCCGCCGCAGGCCCCGGAGAAGACGAGGAAAAAGCCCACAGCAACAAGGAGACTCGATTTGCGACCGAATAGATCGCTTATTTTGGCTGTAATGACGAGTACACCGACGTATCCCAGCATATAGCCCGCGATGATCCAGTAGACTTTATCCAGACCTCCGATTTCTTCCGTTATGCTCATCAACGCCGTGGTGACAATGGGAATTTCGAGATTCGTTAGAAAAAGGCACATAGCCAGCCTATGACTGTCAGTTAATGAACTCAAAATCTGAACAGGAGGCAAACAAACGCAGCGGTGACCAGATGCAGTCGGAGTCCCGACAAGTAGCCATTGTCTTCGACGGCACCTGGTGACAGTTCTCGGTCGTCGACAGTGTCCTCGCGAGGAGCGATCGATTTCTCCATCTTCGACCAGAAATCCAGGCGTATCGCAAAGAGGTTTGCCAGAGAAAGAGCCCGGGCACGTAAGGTAATATCTAGGGCTAGTCGCGGGAAGAACAGAAAAGCGATGGACTTCTTGGCCGCAGCCACCGTCAAGGATTAAGCACCGCCCGCCAATCCTTTCTCCTTAAGGCAGCAAGCATCCAGTATGCACGAGGAAGTGGCATGGATCTCATGCGGGCTGACCTGAAGAGGCTGCCATTTCTGGCCCCAATTCCGGAGGACAGTTTGCTTATGAGGGGGTTGAGAATCCCCGGCTGAACGTGCACGTCTAATGGAAGATCTCACTTATATCCCTTTCTCTTTTTCCCCACATGGGAGCTCGAGCCGGGTACTATCGATTTTGCATGCTTCAAGATGGCCTCCAACATACCACTGGAAAAGCTGCTAGAAATGCCCGCGGCGACTCCTCCGCCAGGAGTTACGCCAAACCTGGTGGATCCGCCTAACGAAGAAGCGGCCGCGAAAGGCATTATTCTGAGCCTTTGGATATTCTGTTCGTTGATGCTGTTGATTCGTGTTTATACCAAGTTTGTGTTGATCCGGAAATTTGATTTATCAGATTGTGAGTTGCCCCCGGAAGCCGTTTTGTATAGACACTGCTAACACCTTTAGACTCGATTATAATGGCGTGGGTATGAATCAAAAAATCGCCGTCATTACTTAAGTTAACTTACTCTACAGGCCATTCTCATGGGAGACTTCGCTCCTTACTGGCTTTTCGCTAACCTGGCCCCTGGAGTCGATCAATGGAATATGCGACTTAAGGACTTTTCCACGGTCATCGAGGTACGAGTTCTCCTTCCTTGGTGAGCCGTGGATACTAACAAGTACAGTATTTCCACGCCGGCGGCGTGTTATACGGCTGCTGCATATTCTTTATCAAGCTGGCTATTTTGCTGCAGTTCATCGAGATCTTTGTGCCCATTCGCAGGACAGGCACATTCTACTGGACCTGTCTGATATTGATTATCGTGAATTTTGTCTTTTACTTCATCAGCTTCTTCCTTGAGGTCTTCTCATGCAACCCCGTGAAGAAATATCACATGCCATGGATTGAGGGTACCTGCATGAACTACAACGTGTTGAACGTCGCTGCCAGCTCTGTCAACGCTGCTTCGGACATCATCATCCTGGTATTGCCGCAGGTGCGCATCTGGAACTTGCAAATGCCTCTGAGTCGCCGGATTGCTGTTTCCGCGGTGTTTCTGATCGGAGTTATGTATGATAGCCTTCGATATGTCTCTGTTTATAAAGACAATGCTAATAATTTCCACAGGGCTTGCACTGCTTCGGTGGTCCGCCTCGCCTACACCGTCGTTCTCATGAAGACCAAGAATATCTCGTACTACGCTTACTTGTCGGGTATCTGGACGATCCCCGAGCTCTCTATGGGAATTGCCGTGGCATGCTTGCCTGTCTTGCCCAAGTTTATCAAGAGCCTTGACCCGAGTCACCGTTTGTCGCGCATCGGCTCTTCGCTGCAGGGCGTGTTCTCTGGAGGCAGTCGCTCGCATTCGCGCTCTCGCTCCCACAATAACTCATCCGATCGCACTAAGGGAAATAATGCGCCGTACACTACTATACAGCGAGGGAAGGACGGTTGGTCTGATTCTCTCCCGCTGGTCTCTACGTCTAGTAGGGGCAGTGTGAAACAGCCGGACATTGCAGGTCAGGCAGTATGAATTAGGGTGTTGGTAATTGAGTGCTTGAGGCGCTCTACGCGCCATTATAATTCTCTCTTGGAGATCTTTCTGGCTCGTTGCGGTATACTATGGTACGGTTTGGTTGGAGTACAGGGTCTTGGTAATGGTTGGGGCTGGTTGGGTCTTAGGAAATGGCGTAACGCGATCATGTATTCAAGAACTATTTGGAAAAGTCGGTTCAGTTCATTTAAAAATTCTCATCCGCTGTAGCTCTAGCCAACGTCCGTTTGATGACCTGAACCGCCTGCATCACAGCCTCGGGATCGCGCGGCCCAGGAATCTCATGACCACTGTCATGCACAAAGACCTCGCGGTTGGCGCTGCTACACAACGAGCTGAGTTGGGGCCCGAATGCATATCGATGGTCATTCCGCCCCCAGATATGCGCCGTGGGGAGATCCAAGACCTCGCCATCGGTTGCGGCGTCCATGACCCGGCGATCCCCTTCTAGCAACATCTTAGGATCCTCCGGTGGCCCACCACAGAAGAAGACAGCGCAGCGGAATGGGACCGCCTGATCGTTCTTCTGGAATTCATGCAATAGTAGTGTTGCACCGCAGCTGGCGCCATGGGAAAAAGCAAATAAACCATCAAACGGCCCCTCAGTGGCCACAAACTCCTGCAGATTCGCGAGGAGTCGCACACGACTCTCTTGGCTATCGTCAACATACATCAGAAACTCGTCGCTTGGCATAGCGACCGTCTCGAGGCCTGGAAATCACGTTAGTTGCCGTACGTCCGAGATAGAGCGTCGGAGCTGAGAACAGGATGAAACATGGACAGGGAGGTCAGCCTACCAGGGGCCATATCGGTTGGGACCGATCCATCCAACCACTCGTAGGTGTGTTCAGGGCCAAGCCGATGGCGTATGGCTGCTACGCGATTTCAGCCTCGCAGTCAGAATGTATGAATCGACCTATTACTCACCGGTTTGGGCCTCGAAGACCTGGACGGTGTTAGTCGCGCAAAACGTGAAGGGGCGTGAAGGGGCAATGTTGCATTGAGCAGAAACATACCCTTCCATTCTCGCCCATTCCATGTAAGCAGAGAAATCGCATGTTGTTCTGTCCAGTTGATTTGATTCTATTATTGTTGGAAGAGAGGGGACAAACCTTATACGCGATTGCCAGCTTACCATCCCCGCGCGGGCTGAACGTGCAGGATGACTGCAGAAGTTAGGTGCCCTGTGGCGCTTCTACTATATTAAACCCCGCGAATGAGCGTTATGCCGTGGAGATAGGCTCCGAATTTCTAATTAGCAAGCGTCCGGCCGTAAGCGCTTGGCACCTGGTCGAGCCACATTGCTGCGGCGTCTAGGATCAAGTATGTGCTGACTGGGGGCCGAATCTCATTTAATCTCGAGGCGCTCGGAATGGCCAATGTCTCAGCTTGGCAAAGACCTTCATTGGTCAGGGAGTGAATGGCGTTGTCTGGTAATCATGGATGTCTTCCTCGCCGTTGCAATGATGTCCAATTCGACGTATACAGTTGCTGACAATGCCGCGTGTCAGAGGCTCATGATTAGAGGTCGAACATGAAAGAGATTGTATAAATCTGTCCTTGACAGACCTTACTTGTGTACCAATGAAAATAATCCCCGCTTCCCTTGTCCCTGTACATTACACCATCCGCAATGACCGCCGACACTTTCGAGCCTCTGGCCATTATTGGCCTTTCTTGCAAGTTCCCGGGAGATGCAGACACCCCAGAGTCCTTCTGGCGCATGCTTCAAGAGCGAAGATGCGCTATGACGCCGTGGCCTGAGGATCGAGTAAAGCTTGAGGCTTTCTCACATCGAGATTCCAAGGTGCCACTGACTTGAATAGACTGCAGACAGCAGCTTACTTGATATAGGAGTTCATTGCTGGCGCCCATTTCATGCAAGAAGATCCAGCTCTCTTTGATGCCTCGTTTTTTGGAGTTGGTGGTGCCGAGGCCGCCGTTATGGATCCTCAGCACCGCATGGTGTTGGAGACAGCGTACCGCGCTTTGGAAAATGGTATTTCTGCCAATCAGGAATCGCCCGATTGAATATGTATTCTAATTCCATCCAGCCGGTATCCCCATGGAAAAAGCCAATGGCACGAAAACCGCCGTGTACACAGGCTCTATGACAAATGACTACTCACATATGGCACATCGCGATCCCGAAAATATGCCCAAACACACTTCTATCGGCACTACGTCCAGTATGGTAGCAAATCGTGTCAGCTGGTTCTTCAATCTGAACGGTCCCTGTGTGAACCTCGACTCCGCATGCTCCAGCAGTCTGATGGCGTTTGATATGGCTTGTACATCACTTCGGGTCAAGGATAGTGACATGGTGAGCTTTTGTTGAAATTATGTTATGTTTCGCCTTCCTACCTGGAGATCCTAACGCAGACAGGCTCTCGTCGCAGGTGTTAGTGCGATTCTAGGAGCCGAAGCCATCATGTCATTGATGAATATGAGCTTTCTATCACCCGACGGTCGCAGCTATAGTTTCGACTCTCGAGCCAACGGATACGGAAGAGGCGAAGGCTGCGGTGTCGTGCTGGTCAAGCGCCTGGCTGATGCAGTACGCGATGGCAACATTATTCGAGCAGTCATCCGATCTACTGGTTCCAATCAGGATGGCTATACCCCAGGCATCACACAGCCCAGTTCCACATTACAATCCCGCTTGATTCGGGATACATATGCCAAGGCAGGGCTTGACTTTGAGCCAACGCGATTCTTCGAAGCGCATGGAACTGGGACGGCGGTAGGCGACCCCATCGAAGCTGAAGCTATCGGTCGTGTGTTCCGCAAGGCGCGTTCGCCAGAAGATCCTCTTTATATGTAAAACCCTCATCTCATATTTCGAGACTTTCGCTGATATGTACAGAGGTGCGGCTAAATCGAATATTGGTCACCTCGAGGGTGGCAGCGGCATTGCAGCTGTGATTAAAACAGTACTCGTGCTCGAGAAGGGTATCATTCCACCGAATTCGGTCAATTTCGAATCTTTAAACCCGGAGATCGATGCCGAATTTTTGAACGTTAAGGTACTTCAACCTTTAAATCACATCGAGTAAGCTGTACATAACTAGCTGACAATTCTAGATCCCGACCAAGCCCATGGCCTGGCCAACGCCTGGTTTGCGACGAGCCTCCGTCTCATCCTTTGGATACGGTGGTTCCAATGCGCATGTTGTGTTGGATGACGCATACCATTACCTGAAGCAACATTCTCTGCATGCTCCCAATTGTACTGTTCCCCAGGCTCACATCGCGAATGGAGTATCTAACGGGGTGTCAACACCGGTTAACGGGACCAATGGGCATGTTGGTCCTATTGAGGAAACTCTCACAAATGGTCATACCACAGAGATGACCTCGCAGCTCCTGATCTGGTCTACCGAAGACGAAGGTGTCCTGGGTCGCATGATTGACGCTTACAGCCAATATGCATACTCGCTCAAGATACCGAAAGATAAAGAGGCAGCGTTCCTCGGTGAACTAGCTCAGACCTTGTCGGAAAAACGTAGCCAGCTTTCATGGCGCGCATATAGCGTGGTTGACTCGCTGTCCGCTCTCAAGACCCTTACAGCTTCTGTATCCAAGCCAGTGCATACAACCAGGTCTCTGGCTCTGGGATATATCTTCACAGGACAAGGGGCCCAGTACTATAGGATGGGACGGCAGCTGGTTACATACCCCGTGTTCGAAAACAGCCTTCGTCTTTGCGATGACGCGCTTCGCTCATTTGGTTGTCCCTGGTCAGTGTTTGGTAAGTCAAACCCGAGGCATGCAGCATGCTTGACGAAATTAGCTGATCGCGAATAGATCTCCTGACCCAGGCGAGCCCTGAAACTTTTGAGATGGATGACCCGACATACGCACAGTGCTTAACAACAGTATTGCAAATAGCGTTGGTCGACCTTCTGTCCTCGTTTGGAATTGTGCCCTCGACTGTTGTTGGTCACTCTTCTGGCGAGATTGCTGCCGCGTAAGTGTATTGATCACACCAGATTGACTGCGCTAACAGGAATAGATATGCCATCGGTGGACTCTCGCGGGAATCAGCGTGCCAGGTATCTTATTTCCGGGGACTGCATGCCGGTACCTTGCGAAGTGGCAATGCATCAATGCTCGCAGTGGATCTGTCACGAACTGATGCCCAACCATACCTTGAGAAACTGCATGCCAGCACGCCTGGCAATATCACTGTTGCCTGCATCAACAGTCCTAGCAACGTGACAATTTCTGGCGAAAATCACCTGGTGGATGCGCTTCAGGCTGATCTTGAAAGCAATGGAATTCGGTCTCGCCGTTTACGTACGGGCGTCGCATACCACAGTTCCCAAATGAAGGCCATTTCATCCCTCTACAGGGATTCTTTGCAAGGACTGACGGCCGGATCGCCCAACAAAACACTCATGATCTCTTCTGTGACGGGCTCACCCATCAGTGACCGCAAGATACTGTCCACCGCAGACTACTGGGTCTGTAACATGGTTGAGCCCGTGGAATTCTGCGGTGCCATGACAGAGAGCCTGTTACACACTGGATCGAAGAACCGCAAGATTGGTGCGCCGGTCAAACACGCTATCACGGACTGGTTCGAGATCGGCCCTCATGGAGCCTTGCAACGGCCGTTCCGAGAAACCCTGCGCAGTATGAATCTGAACCGTAATGTGCGATATATGGCCACGCTCGATCGTCGCCAGCCATCGCTGCAGGCGCTTCAATCTGCCGTGGGACACCTTTACTCCCAGGGATACCCCATGTCATTTCACGAGATCAACCAATATCGCGAAGGCTTTCCGCGCCACACAAAACAGCTGGTAAATCTTCCATCCTACCCGTTCAACCATTCTCGACGGTACTGGTTCGAGACGCGCGAGACTCAGAACGTCAGACTTCGTTCTCATGGACGTCACGAGTTATTGGGGGCCCCATCGCCGGAGTCACATCCCGGGGAGGCACATTGGCGTACCTTTTTTGACCCCGTTCAAACGCCGTGGCTCCTCGATCACGCAGTCAACGGCAAGCCTATTTACCCGGCGACGGGCATGGTGGTCATGGCCATCGAGGGAGCGGAGCAGTTGGTTGATGCGTCTTTTCCACGGTCTGGATATTTCGTTCACGACGCTACATTCACGCATCCGATCGTGATTAATCCCTCTAGTCGCGTCCAGGCTGATCTTCATATGCGGGCAATCCGGTCGGCAGAGAAGACTTCCCAGTCCTTCGAGTTCCGTATCTACACCGATGTCAACAGCCAGTGGCAGGAGACCTGCCGGGGTTATATCTCGGTTCAGCTCGCAGGTGACGAAGATGTTCTCCTGCGGCAAGAGAAGGCACAATCCATGTATCATCAGGGGCGCTGGGAGGAAATATCCCGTCAATGTTCCAGTCCGGTCTCAACTCAGGGGATGTATGAAGCCCTCGAGATGAACGGGTTGCACTACGGTCCGGCTTTCCAGGTCATGGATACCATAACCTGGGACGGAGATGAATGTGCGGCAGCCGAGATCCACACTTTTCCCTGGACCGCGAAGCAGTCGCAACATGGTTGGCAAAAGCATGTCGTGCACCCTGCCACTCTCGATGGCCTCGGCCAGCTGGGTGTCGTGCCTCTGACCGATGGAGGCTCAAAGCTGCTCACGACGGGGTTGGTAACCACACGGGTCCAGCAGGCCTGGATCGCTGCGTCTGGAGCATCGAGTCCCGCTACCCCATTTCTTCGGGCATTTGTGCGCTCGCATACCACCGGAATGCGAGGTACTGAAACCGAGGTCACGGCCCTAGACGAGTCTGGCCAGGTCAAGATCTGGATCTCTAGTATGGAGACCACCTCCATGACGACAAACAATGCAAAGGAGCTGGAAGCCCAGGCGCGTTCACTGTGTGGCACGATTGAATGGACTCCGATGTTGAATTCCATGACCTCTAGCCAGCTGAAAACCTGGTGTGACCTGCCTCTCGCCGATAATCCACAGGAGCTCTTTGACCTCCTAGAGGTTGTTCAGCTGTCATCCGCCCGCCGTGCTATTGAGCAGCTCAAAGGCCGATCGACATCTCACCTGCCGGGTCATTTGCAAAAGTACGTCAATTGGCTGCAGTGGCAGACGCGGAGATATGATGAAGGTACGGCATCAATTGCCGTGGATCATCCTCTCCTTCACTCGTTTGATCCAGCTATTGCCGAAGAACTGTACGAGAGGGTAAAGCCCTTGAGCGCGGAAGCCGTCCTCAGCGTAGTGGTTGCTCAGAACATGAGTGGTATACTAGCGGGCACTGTGGACCCTCTAGATCTGCTTTACCAGGGCGACCGCGCTGCACACCATTATCAGGCAATTGCTGATCGTATGCTTCAGCCGGGACATCTGCGTCGCTATTTGAAAGCCCTGGCCCTTGAGAATCCCGCGATGAAAGTTCTAGAAGTCGGGGCCGGCACGGGTTCTTTCACCAGTCATGTACTGGATGCATTGGCTGGCGACGCTGGGAATCCTTGGTTCGCACGCTACGACTATACTGATATCTCGGAGGGGTTCTTCGAAAAGGCACGCGAGCGATTCGCAGTCAATGGTAGCAAAATGGGTTTCAAGGCGCTGAATGTCGAAAGGTCTCCGGAGGCCCAGGGGTTCGAGAAGGGCAGTTATGATTTGATCGTTGGTGCTTGGGTTAGTAAATTTTTTTTTCTCGCCGTTATCGTATGATCCTTACTCGCACAGGTTCTCCATGCAGCGGCAGACCTTAATGCCGCAACTAGAACTGTTCGCGAGCTGCTGAAGCCGGGAGGAAAGCTAGTGATGATCGAAATCACTCAGCCCGAGATCCTGCGTACTGGATTCGTTACCGGAACTCTGCCTGGGTGGTGGATGGGTATGTGTTTCTTATAGTCCTATTGAACCTTTTCTGACCAGCAACAGGGCAAGAAGAGTACCGTGAACACGGCGCCTGCGTGAGAACGGAGAAGTGGCAAGAGATTCTGCAGGCAAACGGATTCGACGGGGTCGATCTTGCAATTCCGGAATGCGAAGTTGAGAAATACGCGGAACACAGCCTGCTGGTAGCCACGGCATCCAGGACGCTGTCCCAGTCAAAGCCTCGGCCTGTTGTGTGTGTCATTGACTCGACCTCAACGATACAGTCCAAGCTGGTACATGACCTGCAACAACAGACTGCTGATGCGGCTGAGTGGACGGTAGTGCCTACGGAGGAAGTGGCTAGCATCTCACTGGCTCAAAACCCCGTGGTTGTCTTTCTTCCAGAGGTGGAGAGCCCAGTTATAGCTTCCCTCTCAGAGACGCTTTATGATCGATTGCACCACTTCTTCTGCCGCGCCCAAGACGTGATATGGGTCATGGCCTCGAATCCCACGTCTTCCACAGCACCGCGGGTGCATGCTATTCAGGGACTAGCGCGCGTGCTCTGCACTGAGAACGAGAGGCTTTCTTTCGCAACGCTAGATCTAGAAGATCATCTAGACAACCCGAGTAAGTGGGTGGACCACATTCATCGCATTCTTTCGCAACGACAAGGACAGCTTAGCAAAGACCCTGAGCTTGATTACCGCGAGCAGAATGGTGTGCTGCATGTCGGGCGTCTTATAGAAGATATACCGCGCAATAATACCTTGCTGGAGCAGACACAGGTTCCGGTGAAGTGGCAGCCCTTCCGGCACCAAATACCCTTGTCACTTTATCTTTCCAACCCGGGATCGCTCGATGCCAGTTCCATGGTCTTTGTCGAGGACCTAGAGTACTCTGGGGAGCTTGGCCCCACTGAGATGGAGATAGAAGTGAAAGCAGTGGGTGTGAACTTTAGAGATGTACTCACAGCGCTGGGCAGACTGCGCAGCGGAGACAATCTAGGCTGTGAGTTCGCCGGCATCGTGACTCGTGTTGGCAAGAATTGTGTCGGCTTTCAGCCTGGAGATCCAGTCTGCGCAGTGGTTCTTCGATGCGTGCGCACATATGCTCGGTGTGATTATCGTCAATGCTGTCGCATCCCTACGGGCGTAACGATGGCTATGGCGGCTTCAGTACCTACCATCGGGGTCACAGCCTATCACTCTCTCATTATCTTGGCACGTCTGCAGCCTGGCGAGTCGGTTCTTATTCACTCAGCTGCAGGAGGCACCGGACAGTTGGCCATCCAAGTGGCCCAGAGTGTGGGAGCCAAGATCTTTGTGACTGTCGGGTCGCAGGAGAAATCGCGTTTCTTACAGGATCGATACGGCATCCCTGAGGACCATATCATGTATAGTCGCGACACGACGTTCGCCCGACATATAAGACGCATGACGGATTGTCAGGGCGTGGATGTCGTTCTCAACTCACTCTCAGGTGATGCCCTCGTCGCATCATGGGAGTGCATTGCTCCCTACGGGCGGTTTGTTGAACTAGGCAATGCCGACGTTGCCAACAACTCAAAACTGCCCATGAGGCACTTCGCACAGAACGTGTCTTTCTTCCTTGTCGCAGTGGACCTTATCTCACGGGAGCGTCCAGCACTCATCGGTCAGTCCCTGCAGCCGATCATGGACATGATGGGAGCCGGCACGTTGCATCCACCATGGCCGTTGCAGGAATTCTCTCTTTCATCCATGGAGGAGGCCCTCCGTCTGATGCAGAACGGAAAGCACACAGGCAAGCTGGTGATCAATTTCAATCCGAATGATATCGTCCCGGTATGTGTTCCAAGCCAATTGACTCAGACATTTGCTGACAATTTCAAGATATCCCTACGGCATACACCGCCCTATGCCTTTCCTTCAGACGCAACATACGTCATTGCAGGAGGGTTGGGCGGATTGGGACGTAGTGCTGCCTGCTGGATGGCGAGCATGGGAGCCAAGAATCTCCTTTTGCTTTCTCGATCAGGGCCCAAATCAGATGCCGCTCGTCAGCTGATCGACGATCTGACCTCACAGGGAGTGTGTGTTCGCGCACCCAAATGTGACGTTGCGGATACCGATGCGATGAAAGCGGCACTGAGTGATTGTGCCGACCTCCCTCCAATCCGAGGCTGTCTGCAGGCCACGATGGTTCTACAGGTGAGTCTCCATATTCTTGTTATTGCGATTAGAGAGAATACTGACCACTTGTAGGACGCTATCTTTGAAAATCTCACTTACGCACAATGGACCACAGCCATCTGCTCCAAGGTCCAAAGCACCGAGAACTTACATGCCCTTCTCCCATCCGACCTGGAATTCTTCGTCATGCTCTCCTCCCTGGCAGGGATTGTCGGCTCCGTCTCGCAAGCCGCCTACGCAGCCGGAAACACATTCCAAGATGCCTTTGCGACTTATCGACGTAGCCTCGGCCAGGCTGCGACTTCGCTTGACCTGGGCCGCATGGGTGAGGTAGGCATCATTGCCGAGAACACGAATTATGCACGACACAAACAGGATGTGCCCGTGATGGAAGATATTTCGGAGCGAGAATTCCATGCGATTTTGGAACAGGTCTGTCGATCCCCTCTAGACCAAGCTTCTGATTCGACTTCGAGCCAGATATTGGTGGGTCTGGCGACACCGGCTCAGATGCGCGCTGGAGGTATTGATCCCCCGGCTTGGATGCTAGAGCGCGCACTATTCAGTGTCCTTCCGCAGGAGGCTACTGCGGTAGAGGTTGAACTGGATCCAAGCGCTACTACCTCCACTGCAGCGTCACATTGGCAAGCAGCTCTAGCCAAAGCTGGTCCTGGGGCCGCCGTATCGGTTGTAGTCGACGGGTTGACGCAAAAGCTAGCGCATGCGTTGGACCAAACAGCTGCTGAAATCGATCCGCAGAGATCCCTGGCAGTACAAGGTGTGGATTCCTTGCTAGCTGTTGAGATACGGCAGTGGATTACCAGGGCGTGGAAGGCAGAGGTCTCAGCACTGGATATTACCAGTACACCCAGTTTGGAAGAGTTGGCGGTGCTGGTTGTCGGTCGAAGTGAGATGCTCAAGGGACAGTCGGGATAAGAGTATGATTGTGTTTGGGATAGTAAATTAGGTATGTAGGAATTTCCTATAAGGCCTAGATCAGGAAAAGCTTCCATAAAGCGATAATAACAGGTGACATCTCTGTTTAATTTTAATTCCTTCTTGCTATTGTCCTGTATCCAATCCACCTCAATCGAGGGTGAAATCAGCATAATCGACGCTATCGGCCGCAGGGCAGCTGGCTCCAGCTGCCCTGCGGGCCGAAGGCTCTCCAACCATCGACACGAAATATGAATAGTTTGTCTGTTGGGTTGCGTTAGCACAAGGCAAGGTTGCGCTGTTATGGAGTCGGGGAAAGCTCTGGATGGCGGGGGCAGATATCTGAATTAGGGCGAAGGATGAAAGTGAGTAGAGCAACCCCTTAGTTTGATCGGAGTTAAGGCTTGGGGATGAAAGGAATTAAGACTTCATTTGTAATCGACTCATTTTTAAGCAATCCTGCTTTCCCTTGTCCACGGGCATTGTTTCATTCGTGTCATTCTACAGGAGCTTGGTATATAGGAGGCTGATAATTCAAAGTAGTCTGTCTAATAAGTTTTGTTTTCCTCAGTAAGCTCATTCTGAACATTTACCTGTCTACCATCCCCCAATTTTCATCAAAGCAATCAACCGTCAACATGGTCGTGTTCGACGCATCAGCTACCAGCGAGGATTTCGCCAGCGCCTTTTCAACAGAGATCAGGGGTCGCACCTTCGTGATCACCGGAGCCGGCCAGCCCAGTATTGGCAGCAAGATGGCCACTTCGCTAGCGAAGTTTGCGCCCGCGCAAATCCTCATTGCCTCGCGAACAGCCAAGGTCGAGCCCGTTCTCGAGCAGGTCAAAGAGATCGATCCGTCCGTGAAAGCCACCTTCGTACAGGTCGATCTGTCCGACCACGACTCGGTGCGTCAAGCCGCCAAAGAGATCCTGGCCGCGGCGCCCAGAATCAACGTCCTCATCAACAGCCCGGGAAACATGGCGCTGAAGGCATTGAAATGCAGTTCTCGGGAAATCACGTCGGCCATTTTCTGCTTACGAATCTGCTCGTTCCCGCTCTGCTCGCAGGGGCAGCTGAGACTGGCAATGCTCGCGTCGTGAACCTCACTAGCTCGGGATATCTAATCAGCCCCGTGCGTTTCGAAGACTGGAACTACTCAGATGGCAGGTAGTATGATCCCTGGACTGGCTATGGACAGGCGAAGTCGGCCAACATTCTGTTTGCCTACGGTCTGACCAAGAAGCTGAAGGCTCGCGGCATCACGGCGGCGGCTGCACATCCTGGCTAAAACGGGGACACGCAGCTGGGTGCCCACCTGACGTGGGACGATTACGCCGGAATCTTCCCGGCCACGAAAAAGAACACTGGCCGGGACTTTGTGTTTGAAGAGCCTCGATTCAAGAGTTATACGCATATTGCCGCTACACCGCTGATTGCTGCACTCGACCCCGAGCTTCCCGCCAAATCTCCAGCTTATCTGCAAAATAGCCAGGTGACGCAGGCAGAAGCAGAGTATGTGCGAGATGATGAGAGTGTTGAGAAGCTCTGGAAATTGAGCGAGGAGCTTGTTGGTGAGAAGTTCGAATATTAAACTACGCGCATTCCTGGAAGGCCAATGAAGGTTAATGGAGAAGATATATCATCGGGAGGCAAGTAGAATAATATTATAACACACAATATTTCAGTCATCCTTTGAGAGACTTTTCCGCTTTTGACCTGACTTTTAAAGTTGATGAACAATACTCAATCTTGCGACACTGGGCGTAATACGAAGTGGCGATAATTGTTTGATTTTTCCATAAAGATTGGACTATAGCATCCTGGGCAAGGAAAAAGGATTTCAGTGACTTGATGTTGAAGCTGCAACTAAATTCAGTACTCACAACAGGACCTTATTTCTCGCAATCAGGTCGCGAAAAAATCTAGTCAGCCGTGGAGCACATTAATGCGCGAGGCTGCTCGAGCGGAGAAACAAGGTCGCGAGCCGAATTTTTATACTCATGTTCTTATCGACAAGGTTAATGCGCTCGAATTGTTGTCCTAGTTGATATGAATAAATTCGTGTCCCATCAGATCTTCACACTACGAGCGGGCTACGATGTGGTTGATCAAGCATTTGGCCGACAGCACGCATTCAATCCAAGCTTCGGAGCATTCTATCTCCATCCCTTGCTTCTACGGCCCAAAACACCGTTTTCCTATCTTCTAAGAGGTCCGAAGTACCCAAATCCAGTATCTTGAACCCTTATATCGAACGTCACGTAAAGCTTCTTTGTCTCTAAAAGCAGAAATTTGGAAAATGATCGACCTTCTTCTGGGCGAGGCCGCGAGAATACTATTCGCGTGCTTGCTTTTATCTGGTTTATCTATCAAGTTGGGAAAGCAGTGTGGAATATTTCACCTTTCCATCCCTTGAGCCATATCCCTGGCCCCAAGCTTGCGGGCGCTACGTATCTTCCCGAGTTCTACTATGACGTTGTCAAATTCGGCCGGTATACAAAGGAAATCAATCGAATGCACGATGTTTACGGTATGAGGCTTTATGGCAAAGTCGTAATCAATTGGCAACTACCACTAACTGTTGTTTTTTCTACTCCCAGATCCAATTGTCCGGATCAGTCCTAACGAACTTCATTACAATGGCATTCAATTTGCCAACGAGATATACCCATTGGGAGGTCGGAAACGCGACAAACCTCTTCACCAGGTGAGAGGAAGTGGCACGTAAGCATTTCACCCACCCACATGTCCTCGAAGACTGAATTGAAGCCAACACCGGAGGCGATCGCAGGGTACCGCACGCCATTCTCTCAACCACACCATACGATTTGCACCGAATGCGCCGCAGCGCCTTGGCTAAGTTCTTCTCACGCGGTCATGTATCGCGACTTGAGCCGAAGATCCATCGTCTCGTCCAACGACTTTGCGACAAGGTGTTGGCCCAAGGAAAAGAGCCATTTGACGTGACTTCGGCGTTCAGTTGCTTCAGCACGGATGTGATATCCGACTATTGCTTTGGTGAGAGCTTCGGGTTTCTGGAACAGAAGTCCTGGGAACCGAACTTTCGGAAGCCATTGTATGCGCTGTTGAAGCCGCTTTTTCCGTTCCGGTTTTTTCCGTTCCTCGAGGGCCTGAGTGTTGCTGCTTCGGGGTGAGCTTCGATTTCTATCATTGCTAATGGGTATTTGAGGCTAATCGTGAACTGCGCAGTGTCACAAAGCATCTATCCGAGGACATGAAACTACTTATTAGAACACTGACGGTATATCAAGCATGACACGCACAACAACCTCCACACTAACACCAAGCCAATAGGTTGACATGCCCAACAAGGTCCAGAGAGCCAAAGCCGACATGGAGGCTGGAATCATGAACCGTAATGGGCTCCCTGCTTGAGTCTGGCCTCCCAGCGGAAGAGAAATCCGTTCCACGTTTAACAGACGAAGCCACTGCTCTGCTCGCCGCGGGCACAGAGACCGTGAGCTGGACCTTAACAGTGATAACGTATCTTTGATGAGGAAACATTGGCATTGTTACAACCCTTCTCCAGCTACGTAGCAAGCTCGTAGGCGAGAATTTTGTTGAATTCTAAGCGTGAGGAAGAAACAACACTAAATACAGTAACGTGATTCCCGGCCGACCGGTCACCTCATCAAAATTTCCCTTAGCAACCATTGTTTACATTGGGCTGCGAAGTCCGACTCTGCCACCTCCTCGTGGTGCAGCCTGGTAACATTATCCAAGTGGTAATGGCCAAGAGCAGAGCGGCCACTCTAGGGTCCATGTGAACCTACCATCCCTTGGGGATAGACTTGATTGCCACGGTGCCCCGGACCCGAAGCCGATCGAACGCTCTGCGCCAAACATGGGAGAGCCAGCCCTCCATGAACAGATACTGACGCCTTTCGATTGTTGTTTTCTTTTACCGGCTAGCCGGACGGCTTTCACCTCCTTCTCCATCAGTCCACGGGCCTACGACCTCCGCTCTGCGTGAGTTACGACAATACGGACCTCCTTTGGGAGACCCCCAACAATACTGCTCCTTGGAGCTTCTTAAGAGTAGGATCACTACTACTCTTCCAACCTACAACCATTTATACTTGTGGAGGTTTCTTTTCCCTTTTCCCTTCGGGGTTTGGGTTGTTTTTCCCTCTATGCCATCAAAATCCGATATACTTGAGGGAGTGGTAATCTCAAGGAACTGCAACACCGCGGGGTTAGGGACCTGGGATATGGGATTTTGTTTGGGAAGAATTTCAGTATAGACCATCTTTTTGACTACGGCAGCTATCTAAACGCGCCAAAGAGTCTCTTGATATGTATTATAGCACAAATAGCTACAGACACCCAGGGCTTACCCCCTGGCGGCCTTTGCCCCAACAGGGGACGGTGGGACACGTGCTTAGGCGGTGTCACACGGCCGTAAAATACAACAACAACAACAACAACAACAACATTGTTTACATTTTTTTAAACCACCACTATGCCTCCAAAAAGACCCCAGAAAACACAAAAATTGATTGAGCAAGAGGGTCGTCTTCTACTTGCTGTAGAAGCTATTAAAAATGGCAGAATTCTCTCTATTGCTGCTGCTGCCCGCTCTTTTGAAGTGCCACGTACTACCCTCTCAGCTCGAATAAAGGGTCGCCAAAACAAGCATGATATATGGTCAAATGGCCATAAATCTACTCAGCTTGAAGAAAGTTCAATTGAAGATTAGTTAGTCTCTATAGATTTGAGAGGTGCAGCTTTCAATTTACCTATATTGCGAAAGACAAGTTTGTTTCTGACTTATAGTCAAGAATTTTCCCATGGAGAGGAAGGCTATCTAGGAGGGAGGATCTAGAGCTTCTATATACTGCCCGAGGCTTAGCCTCAGGCAGGAATGCCTGCAGAGCATCCAGGAACCTTCCTGGATGCCTACCGGAGGGTCCCTCGATCCTATACTAACTAACCAGAACGTTCCTCCGCACCGGGAAGTTCCCTGATTTCAGGAGGTCACATTTGTATGCTACCTCATGCATCGCATCTCTTACAGCCACTTGATGTAGGCTGTTTTGTGATTTTAAAACGCTTATACGGAGGCAAGGTGGCAGAATATATAAAACTCAACATCAATTCGATTGAAAAAGAAGATTTCCTGGATATCTTTTCTGGAGTGCGATATGACACTTTTAAGGAGACTACTATTCGAAATAGCTTTTTAGCTACTGGATTAGTCCTTTTTAATCTCTCTTCACCTATAAAAAGAGAGATTCAGTACTATTACAATATAACAGTCCGATTGTTTTATTACTATCTTTTTCTCTCCGATCGATGCCGCCAGTTAGAAGAAGCAAATAAGAAACAAGCAAGAAAAAGAATAAAATATAAAAAGCAGATCGCTCACAAGGGTAGTCTGGAGAAATTAGAAGAGATTCAGGATAATATTAGTGTTGAGAGAAGCAGTGGTAGTGATTATATATCTTTAGATCTAACTTCAACAGAAGCTATGGTTGAACCTGAATTACCTCAGATGTCTACCATTCGCCGCGATTTTACTTGTTCTGGCTGTAATACGAAAGGACACAGGATTAACCAATGCCCTGAGAGAGTTAGATAGTCAATTTTATTATTGTTTTGGTTCTAAATTTGCTGTTGAAAATTGTGATTTTTTTGAAGTTTTGATGAGGTGACCGGTCGGCCGGGAATCACGTTAGTCGAAGATGTTTTGTTTACGTAGCTTAGTCAGCCGCTGAGACGCTGTATGCCTGAGAGTTCAGGCAACAACACTATAGCTCGCTCAGGCTTCTAGCGATGGTTGTCACAGGCATGCCATTCTACCACGTAGGTATTCGAGATCAAAATTCAGAAAATATCTATAATAGACTAGCACTAATTGGTGTTCCGAGAATTTCTTGACTCTTGGAATATCTAGGGCCGTTCCTATAAACATCTGGGCTTGTGCTGTCTTTCGACAGAAAAAGCCCAGAAAAATGTTTGCCATATTAGTGCAGCGCGGTAGTATAGCATTTCCTCCTAAAGAAAAGGTCATGGGTATCAGAAGGAAAAATAGCTTCCCTGATTCGTTATTTTCGTGATAGCAGTATTGGGCTTTTTGGAGAGTGGCGAGTAAAAGTGAACTAAAAGTGGAAAAACGGGCAAGAGAAAGATCGTGTTGAAAACTAGAGATGCCTATTAAGCCACAAAAAGATGTTATAACACCTAGTTATGCTCAAAGTGCAATATCTAGGACTTTCTCACGTTGACAGATCGCTAGTTAGAGTACAATTTATTGAGGTTATTCACTTAGGGCATTCAGTCTTCCGTTTACCCCGTGTTCAGTGGTTATCTCAGGCCGTTCAGGGCGTGCTCAGGTCTACTCAGTGAGCAAAAAGCGGCGAGGGGTGAGCACTAAAACGGAAAGGGAAGGCTGTCGTCCTGGCTAGAAAATCCAGTACATATGTACACTACCTATACTATTACTTTGTATGTAATGTAATTATTCACCTAGCTTTTCAGGATTCCAATAAACCATACCCTGCCAGGTGAGGTATCCAACCCACGTCGCAATATCGCTCAAGCGTCTTTGAACGGTGACTAGTAACGTGTCACTGGGCCTTATTCAAGCACGTCCAGATGCATCTTTCGGAGTATCGATTGCCTGGATAGCATGCCACCAGGTGTTGCTTTCTATTCACCTAGCTATCAGTCTTGGGAACACTGGCTCTTGAAAATGAGAGATCTCAACTATCTGTCTGCACGATGTAGCAAAATCATTCCATAAGAGGTTTTATGCTTTATAATATGAGGAACCGCGAAAATAATAGGTTTCTATCAATCATTTATTTATATTAGGAAGGCTCCTGTTTCCAAATCAGATGCAACAGATTTGCAAATGACCGTCTTATGCAGACATGGTCCGAAATCCAGCCCTCGAATAACTGGTATACGGAAGGGGTCTATATTGGCGCTGCTCGCAATACTCATACATGTAGCATTTCCCATAATAAATAAAATATGAGGGAATAGGAGAGCGGCATGTGAATCCAAATTCTGATCTTTTCTTAATCACGTCCCCACGCACACTTTACATCATCCAACAACTCACACCGAATGTCTTGGAGTTCGTTGAATAACAATCAGTCGATGAATGCTATATAGGATGGAGCAAAGCAGTTAACGTCTGATCTGAGGATGGTAAGACCAAAGATCCAAACACGACCAAGAAAATGAGCATTGGGTGGGTGTCTGAGCAATTAGATCTCACCAAGTACATTATCCAAGGCTATCTAGATGCTAGCAACATGAGGAGAGCATGGACAGTTATGTAATCGATTAAGCTCTATCTGAACTAAAGTCACCACAGCTGTATACTAGATTGTCAGCCCATCGAGGGACAGTATCATATACCCGAACTAACCATAAACCCAGTGTACAAATACACTGTCCGTCTAAGCAGCACACCTCTTGACAATATTCTGCACAATACTATCTTTATGACGGAATGCATCACTGAAAGCCATCAGCTTCTCAGCAGACATCCCCCTGCGAGCATCAGCAGCCTGCCTGAACACCCTTCTCGTCGGTCGACCGGCGGCCCCTGCGCCAAGGAGCAAGCCTGCAATCGCAAAGGGCGCAGAGGTTGGGTCATCAACAATGTCAGCAATACTCAGTGCCGCGTTTCCAGCTTCGCCGATTACCATCGCCATACGCGCAATCGCAGTCGCACCACCAATAGCGGCGGCGGCCTCGCCGGCGAACGGAATGATCATGAAGACTATCGTGAGAATTCCCATGATAAGCTTCTTCTTCTCGGCAGCCTCCACTTTGGCTCCGATCGTTCGGATGACTTTCATTTGTTCCGTGGCGTCTTGGAGCATGAAAACGGGCATGCTGAAGGACGTGGCGACATCGCCGTAGTCGGCATCAAGCGTAAACGTGCGCATATCGAAGTAGCTGGAGAGCATCGTGGTGGAGAGGGATGTGATATCAGGAATGGATGCGTCAATCACGGTCTTTGGATTCGGCACGTCGATGTCGTCATCACTGTCCTTGCGCTGGGGGTAGTTGTGATAGGTCTCTGCGTATCGATTCGGATCGTTACAGATTTCACAATTTTGGCTGGGGTCCGGACAAACACAGGGAGGCACTACCATGACGGTATCCTTCCATTGAATCCAGTCCTTCTGGATGCCGTAGTCCGCCAACAGGTCCTTGTAGAAGCCATCCTCATCCCGCATTTTGAATGTCACATGCTGCGTTCCCTTGGCTGATCCGCGGTGTAGTTCAGTGCATGGCCCGGAGCCGGTCGAGCCGGCGCCCTCCCACTCGCAGTCCATGTGTTTGGAGCCATTTTGGTACATGAATTTGCCCAGGGAGTCGTTGATCCCGTCTCGTATCCATTCAGCATAGTATTTGAACTAGACGTCTGTTAGCCATCGAAATATCGATATCATGGGCCCGGAGTTGGTAGCGAACCTTTTCATCGTAGTCGCCGGAAGAAATCTTCTCGTAGTCAGAGACTGCATCTTTAACATGCAGAAGGAGGACATGAACAACAGCCTGAGACTGACACTCAACTGCAATCTTGTCCAGATTGTCATTCAGTTTATCCAGGGTCTCAGGCCAATTGTCTGATGGACAGCCATCGAACGTCCTTCCACCTGCTAACAAGGCGGCCGAGTCTTCATCGTCCGGGTCCACTCCATCATACCAGTCACCAAGGTCAATGGCCCAGTCAGACACGCCGCCAAAGTTCAATCCCTTCACCCAGTCTATGCGGCCGGCTTTTGTGTCCTCATCCATATAAGCCACCCAGGTGTGCGCATCCTCGTGCACGCCGTAAACCATGATGTCTGAGTCACTTGCGTCATCATGCCATGATTTGGCATGGTAGCCGCTATAGCCCAGTAAAGCGTTGTCACTTATGAGCTGGAGTTCTGCGTTTGAGATGTATCCGCCAGTGTCGGTGCAGACGCCATGCTGAGCCGTGGAGTCGGTGAAGGACCCGGTGAACTTGCACATCGGACCGGTGCAGCTAGGGTCAGCCATGCCGAAGCTACGACCATAGCTGGACACTCCTACGACGATTTGGTTGGCGGGTACGCCGGCCTTAGTGATCATGGCCAAGGCGTTGTGCGTCTCTGTCTTGTTGACGTGGGAGCGGAGACAGTTTCCGTCGTCGCATCCGGGGCTCGCATATTGGTTGCCATAGTCTATAACTTATGTCAGTTATTGTTAAAGTAAGGCCCTATTGATAAGGGTAAAGAGGAGATCGGTCCATACCCCACTGCCCATGCAGGTCATAAGACATGTAAATGAAGTAGTCGACATACTTGGCCATCTTGTCAACAGGGAAAGGCTTGAGATACCAGTAAGATGCTGGTAGCGCAATAGAGAGAGACTTATCACTCAGCCTTCCCCTCATGAGTTTCAGGAAATCGAGGTAATTGCCTGTCTCGCCCTGGCCCCCAGGGACTCCAGGAATGTCGGTTGCGCCGGGGTACTCCCAATCAAAGTCAATACCGTCAAGATTGTGTTTCTTGACGAAGGCAACCACATTGTTCGCAAACTTCTCACGGTTCCCTGGCTTGACGACGTCCTTGTAGTGCTGGAATGTCGCGGCGTCGGTCGACTCGGCCCACCCGCCGAACGAGAGGATTTTCTTCCATGGAGCGTTCATCTTAGCAAAGGCATCGAATTGATCCTTGAAAGCTTCATCAAACGTCACTTCGAAGTCGCTGGTAAGGCCCCCAAAAGCAAAATGGACATGAGTGAGGTCGTCGTCGTTAATTTCTCTGACATCCATTTTCAGACAGTCCCGGTTGATGTTGAATGCTTCGAAGTAGGTGACGCGGCGGAAGGTCTTTGGTTTCACGTCATTATTCTTGATCTCGGTACCGCAATTGGATATACAACCGTTTGTGCCGTGCTTGAATGCGCCCGGCGCGCCGGTGTCAGCAGGAGACTCAGTACAAAACTCCTCTGTCGTGCCGCAGAACCCCCAACCAGAGCAGCAGGCTTTCAAAGGGCAAGGATTCAGCTTGGTGAGATCGAACCCGGTAAAGTCGCCCTTGGGCTTCTTGGTCCCAGGAACCTGAGGTCCACACGTAACATCACTGAGTGACGCGGGCATGGGAGTGTTTCCTTTACTCAAGCAGATGACTTGATCCCTTTGTAAACGAGAGCAGCCAGCCCAGCCCCATGTAGCCTTGTTGAAGCTTTCAATGTCCTTCGCGGCCAGACCAAACTGGGCGGCGATATCAGCGCAGTTATCGTTATCTTGGACCGTGTATACGGCGCATGTTCCATCGGCTTGGGGTTTGGGTCTCATGTCAGGCAGGGAGCCCGACGAGCAACAGACGTACTGCTTTGGTTTGAGCGTAGCACATAGGTTCTTTTGGCTGTTGTATTTGGTGAAGGCGGCGCCAGTAATGCCGCAGCGGCTAGCAAGCGCACCACAGCTGTCGCCTGGAACGACTTGGATAGTGCGGCAGTCGGCGCGAGGGGTGAGTGTGTTGGAAAGGAGAGAGAGCATGGAAGATCGCTTGCTCCTCTCGGAAGCTTCCAAAACACTTAGACTGGTTTTTGATGTTTTGGAGCTAGCAATCGTGACACATTCGCCGCTGGCCCATGTCTGAAGCGCATGTTGAGCCTCCTCAAGTTTGTCAACGGAGCTGGCAACAAACAGACCAATGGTCCTGGCTTGTCGAGAATCTGCATCGCATATTTGAACAGTCTGCGATTCATGCTCAACCTCATGGGCTAGTTGGAAGGGGTCGTGTTAGTAGAATGCTTCACTGTCCGGTACCAAGAGGCGCTTGTAGCAAAATATCCCTGATTGGCTAGACCTCGACCGCTCAGAATTCTGGAGACTCGAATAGACGTGGAGGAGTTGGAGATCCTCCGGAGATCCTTCGTGCAGGCCATCCCAATCCAGGCCATATTCTTGAAGTGGGCGGTGTTTCGAACGACCAATCTGACACGAAAAACACGCTGTTTTGCTACAAGTGCCTCTTGGCACCAGACGAGGGGAAAAAGAAGAATGGATGAACGTTGACAGGATGAAAACATACTAGGTCTTTTTATTAGCAACTGCCTCAAATGAACGCGGTTGCAGCACTTACCCAAATCGCTCGAGTGTCTCGCCAATTCCTCTCTGCAGAGCGTCTGCACCGGCATACATCGCAGCTACGGAATCTCCATACTTGGAAAATAGAATGGTTGTTCCACAGGACGAAGCATCAGTCATATAGGAAGCCAAATTTCTCACGGCAGTCACAGCATTTTTAGTAGAGTTAGCGGTGGAGCGAAGATCTCCAGCATTTCCAGATTCAAGCATCACATCAATGGTGCTCGCGATGGCACCGCAGGATTCAGAGTCCTTCAGGCGCTGGCTTACAGCATCAACATCCTGTGTGTCGACATTTGTCCAGGCGGCCTTTGCCAATTTCGTTGAAACACGCTTGGGATACTCCTCGAGCAAAGAACAAGAGAACATGGGCATATCAACATGCAACTCACTCTTAATGTTGAAGGCGAACAGAGTTGGCTCCTTGCACCGCTCGAGGGTATTAAGATCGTGAATCTGTGTCCAGTTTGCTGGGTTAGACCCTAGAATGGTGCAAGCTCTGGGACACCCATGAACCAGGGGGGATGCAATGGAGTCTTCAGTTTTCAGATCGCCCATGGGGGCGACAGGCGCCAGGGTGTTATTTGAGGAGGCATGGGTAACAGAAGAAAAAAAATTGCATGCAATGAAAGAAAGATAGGACAAAGAGAGCGTCTTGATATTGGGCGTCATAATGGAGAAATGAATGAATGAATGACAAGGCCAAAGCTGGCTAAGCAACGGAGAAAAGAATGGACGTAGCCAGGCAGGCCACTTGGGAAAGAAGAGAACGAATGAGAGAAAAGACCTGGTGGTTGAAAGAGAGTGTCTGATATGCCATTATATTTATATAATCGCTTCTGGACGGAATCCCTCGGGGACTTCAAGCCCTACGATGTAGCTTCTTTTCCTCGCGTGTCTACGCTCCACCATTTAGCTCTATCGGCGTGCCTGAACGCCTCAACCTCGGCCATTGTCCGTTCGATGTAACCATTCTCCATGTCTTTGCACCTGAACCGTGATCTACCTCGGAAGCAGTCAATCCGGACCCCTTGCTGTTCAAGCTAACTACGCCCTCTAGCCAAAGTTTGCAAAATCTCCGAGTCGCCAAGGTAATCAACCACCGCCATTCATGCAGCCCACGGTCAGTATTCAGATTACTGAGCACATAGAGTAGGTCAGTACATCTATGATAATCATGTGTTTTTGACTGTATAGATGACTAGTGCCAGTAAGAGCTCGAATATATTGCAAGTGGCGTATTTATCGGAGATTTTGGGGACTTTGGCTAGAGGGTGTACCCTGTTCAATTGTCATTTCGAGATATGATCTGCGTGGCTCCTTCGGGCCCGGCCCGTTGCCAAGCCAGGCTATCGGAGCTTAGTTACCTAGTCTCTTGGTGTGTTTGTCGCTTCGGTCTTGATGGCTACAAGCTTTTACATACCATATCCGGCCAGAGATGCATGAGAGTAATTTCCCATTCAGTGGTCCAGGGCGGTCTTTTACACGAGCCCGAGGCAAAAAGCTCAAAATGTGATCCGATCTGGCGCGGAAGTCGGCACTGCGGGTCGAGACCCTTTTTCCATTGCCTGTTCCTATCGGATCTCCTTTCAGGTACCTGGATAAACTAGTCTCTTTAGCTGAGAACGGATGTAACGTCGGAAGAGAGAAGGCGCCTACTTACCTAGTAGACATGTATTGTTACAAGTGCTTTACTCTTTTGGACGAGGCCATTCAGGAGACAACAGTGGTGCCTTTTAAGTATGCAGAGGTCCTCTTTTCCTGCCTCGAACACGCCCTTCGTCTCTTGAATCTGCTTCATATACAAGAATGGTTGGACTAATTGCGCGGGTGCCTTGGGCCGTGCTGCTCTTGATATGGCTCGGCCTTGCGGTGCAATCCAATGCCGCTACCAAGGATACGGCAAACATGTATGCTCATGCCTATGAAAGAATATGGCTTTGGCAGCGGTATAACATGGCAATGTACGTGAGGCATTGGTTATGATTGTTGTTTGGTATCCCGAACATCGTTTTGGGATCTACTTTAACGTTGAGTGCTGACCTCCTAATTCGCCTTGTAGCGCCATGGAAACAAAAGACAAAAAGGGAAAGACCATAGATCAAAACGAGATCCTGCCTATGATTCACCAGAAAGGAGGTAGGGAGGGCATCAAAAATAAACATTGGGACCAAGCGACCGGAAAATACGAAGGTCCTCTGCATTACAACGAGTTCATGGTGCGACTGGATGATCGCCCAGTCGACGAGCATGGCATACCGCCCAAGATCACTGCTCCGTCTGGGGCTGATGATCTAGAGCGCGCTGCCCAGGAACTGGTCGATAATCGACTAACTGAAAATCTCATGGTTCATCAGATCAATGACCGGTTTGGACAGTCCGGCGGTGGTGGGAAGGTGAACAAGGGGAAAAAAGCCGCAGAGTCAAGAGACGAAGGACGATACCAACGTCTATTCAGCGCGCTCAATGATCAGTTGCTCAAGTGGCGCAACGACGAGAAAAGCTACGCCAAGATCAAGGAATACGATACCATGACGAAATCATTGACCGAGCGGGTTGTGCAGCTCCGCATCGAGGACGGTCAGCGGTTCATGCTTCACCACTTCGACAGAACTGATGGCCGCGGTTTGGATTTGGGGGACAAGCTCGTGAAATACAAAGAGGACTCTCGTGTGCCGGGCGGACCGGACTATGAACGTCTTGATCTTGGAAAGACCTGGGAAAGCTATGAAGAGGACGTCAAGAATGCCATTTCGGAGGCGACGGATGAAAAGGTGCAGATCAAAAACTTCAAAGACTTCGAGGCCTGGGTATGAAAATATGGTTACTTCTCTTTTGAGACTTCGCTAACCTCTCTACAGGTTACAGATTATGGCAACCCAGATGGACGTTTCGCAAAGCAGACCAATGCCAGTCCTACACATTTCAGGACCATTCAGATGTGGAAAGCCATCGACGAGGGTAAGACTTGTTAGAAGTTTGCTCGGAGTTGAGGGAAATCCAGAGGTGAAACACAGAAGGGCATTTGTACTGTACGACAGGCTTTGAGGAGGGAAGGACGGCGGATCCATGGATATCCCCCTTCGTCCTCCTTTGGTGGCTATCTCATATTTTAGTTAGCTCCCACGTGATACATAGGATTTAGGTAGTCATCAATTCAGGGACACTACGTCTCTGGGGTGCCAGGAGATCTAGGACCTGTTCTTCCATGTAACGGACGGTGTATTGTCCGTAGTAGACCAAGAGAGTGGGACGTACTAACAGGGAAGAATCTGTTAAAGAGCATTGGGGATTTTAGGGCATTCAATAGTTTCCTTAAGACTTCCGAGCGGGACCGCCTTCCCCCATGCATCAATCAACCCCGCCACTGTCGGCGGATCTTTCCGACGGATCGAATCGCTAAAATAGTCGCAGCCCTCCACGTCCAACGTTGTAGCTCAGCTTGACGCCGCCCACCATGTCCGACAGCCATAGCGAAGTCGGCTCGGAGGTCTCGCTGCCCAGCACTGCGGCGACCAACGAGCTGCTCTACGATTACGACCAGTGTATCGCCGCCCTCGAAGGAACAAGCGTCCCAGTTGATCTCACCTCGGCCGCTGCACGCTGTGCCGTAATCCGAGGCCTGCGCTGCTCCTACGACTTCGCAGTCAGCCCAGACATAGTCGATCTGTGCGCTTCACTGCAATTTCCGGAATTTGTTCGCGCACGCAATGCCCGGCTTATCATGAGCAACGTGGTTCCGGATGGTCTTGAACACCCCGAGTCCCAGCCATACTGTATCTGGAACCCGGACTTTGCCACAGAGCAGACCTATCGCCAGGTTGCGCAACGGTACCCTGCTATGCGCTATCAGGTCGGCCGTGCCTGTGCCGCCGCTGGATATCTTACGCTGTATACGGAGCTCAAACTCCTTCCTGATGTCTCCATTGCTGAAGAAGCTCGGGAGGGCAATACCGAAGGGGGAGGTCAAATCTACCAGTCGATCATGTCTTCACCACTGAAATATGCCGTGATGGATGATTATACACGCTCAATTAACGCGGAAAGCCCGCCGCATCCTGCCTTCCTCAATGCCGACACACATGTTCGCTGGAAGTTACAGTGGCGGTTCACGCCCGCAGAGGATGCCACGGAGGACTTTGGGCCTGAGGAAATCGATATTGAAGAGGATCGGTACATGGGCCTCGAAAGGGAAGAGCCAGACAAGTCTCGCTACGATGAACTGAATCCGCAAGAGGCGACGCTTCTCTGGCAGCCTCTGCCTCTCGATCTACCAACGATGAAAAAAGATCTGCTCCGTCAAATGGCCGCCTTTGAAGGAAGCGTGGACCGATATGACAGGCTTATGAACCGCCGATCTCGGGTAGAAATTGACTCACTCGAGATCCTCTGCGTCGTGCGTGGCATCTATCACCACACGATGTTCGCGCGGTGGTGGCAGCACCAGCTCGACACGGGCGCTTTCCAAGACCGAATGACCAAAGAAGAGCGGGACAAGATCCAAACCGCCATTAATGCCCGCCGAGTCATGATCAACGAGATTGGAACCTTCACCGACGACACCCCCTGCAAGCCGTGGCTGATCTGGTATCCCCTCAAACCGGAATTCACAGCACTGTCTAATCTTGCGAATCGATGCCCTTCCATGCATGTGCAGATCGGTATCGCCGCCATGCATTGCGGCTACTATGGTTTATATAAACGGCTCAATCTCCGGCCCAACATTGCCCTCATGTATGCGGCCGAAGACGTCCGCAGTTCCCATTACAAGGAAGATCTTGAAAGCCGCGCAGCAGAGCTCGGGATTACCGATCTCTCGAAAGAAGGCCCCCGGATTGAACAGTCCAGCGAGAGGCATGGAACGTTAAGCCGTGACTTGGAGCCCACGGGCCGTGGAATCAGTACGCGCCTCCACTCGGAACACATGTATCCGCTGGGTGGAGGATATTTTCGGAGAAACTTCGCATACGGGGGCTACTTTGAGAGATATGTCTGGCTCTCGTTTGAAACGATTCGGAAGATGGAGGTTGCAGGCTACCGTTGGGAGGAAGGTTCTGGGTTCTTAAAAAATAGTGATACGCATTGGTTTCTGACGCATGAAGTCATAAAGGATGAGAATGGAAACGAGGTTATTGACGCCAGCGATGAGGACTAGCCGTCGCCGAAATCGAATATCCATTTGAATACTTTTAATATCCACTCGAATTATTGGAAAGCGGGCCCCACGATAGAGACCGGCTTCTTGAACCCGTGAGCGCAAAGTAAACCAGGGACGCAGGAGTTTACTCCTGCGATAAGAGTGAAGTCCGCTTCCCAAGGTATTCCCAACTTAAGGAGCCCGAAGGATCTTTATCCTGGTCCAACGAACAAGTCCCAACAAAGAGAATACAATGACCTCACGCAGAATGGCCTTGCTTTTTTCGGCTGCTCGTGCCGAATCCTGGTCCGAGATTCTATCCTCGCGCAGGATCACGAAGGAATGGGCGATTTTGTCGGGTGTGAATTTCAGTAGAGCTGTTCGAAACGAGAGCCAGAGGTGTGTATACCTAGGCATAGTATAGAACAGATAGGTCAAGGCGATCAACAGTCTATGAATCAACGAAACGCCTCCATCTGCTTCGCATACCACTCCTCAAACACGCCCACGAATACCTTCCCGCCCTCCTCCGCCTCCTTCATCGCATCCAACAACTCCGGTCCTGGATCAGGGTGGGAGCGTCCAAACGGAATCACAAATAGGCCCTACTAACCTAGCTCAGTTCCCACCATATACTTTGAAACTCTGAAGCGGTGCGCTGTACCTGTTCAGGTAATAAGTAGTTCGATCTTGGTGTAGGCCTTGCCTTTAACACATCCGGCAACTACTATCCTGCTAGGCTGAACAGTTTCCATTACCTCAGAGAGTACTTAGGCTTTGTTCTATCCCTCGCTGAGGCAGGATTTTCTGCCTCAATCCCAGAGCTAGCTGAACTCGAGGGTGCCCTGTCACTCCACTAGAACAGCTTTGTGTCGGGTAGTTTTCATATCCCAGTATCCCTCTAGCGATCACTGACTCCTTTCGGAGCACCTAGGCCCCCTTTTGATAGATATTCAAAAGGTTTCTCGCATTGCCTCAAACCAGTTTTTCAAAAGGTCACCCCGGGGGGAGGATTTTAGCATATATTTTACATCCCTTGCCTGGATGGTGCGCTGATGATTCCTGATGCTAGGCATTTTTAGAGCTTCGGCCTAGGCGCCATGATTACAAGGCCTAGATATAAGCTGCTGCTAGTAGTTGGAGCTTGGCATTTTCAGGATCCCGGCCCAGGCACCATTTTTGCAAGGCCTAGATATGGATCTCTGCTAACAGCTTATTCCTCATTCTGACTTTTTTCTTCAGCACGCTGCTGCTTACCCAGACTACCAGCTATTAACTAGTAACTTTCCATGCGAATTTTTGGTATGACGTCTACTGACACATGTACTACGTATGGATTATCATGCTAGCAATATCTACAGATTGCTTGGACAGAAAAGAATAGGGCCCCATATATGGAATTTAACTCGATTAGAATGAATCTGTTATAACTTTATACTATAGATATCAGGCGAGGATACCCACAGAAAATCAACACAACTTCCTATTCTTCGAATTTTATTCTTTTAATCAGTATTATGAATCTTCAGTATTATGCATTTTAATAGGGAAACATTGGCATGTCATTCTACCGCATAGGTAATCGGGATCCAAATCCAGAGAATATCTATAATAGACTAGTGCTAATTGGTATTCTGAGAATTCCTTGACTCTTGGGATATCCAGGGCCGCTCTTATGAACATCTAGGCTTGTGCTGTCTTTCGACAGGGAAAACCCGGACAAATATTAGCCATGTTAATGCAGCGCAATAGTACAGCATTTTCTCCTGGGAAAAAGGCCCTGGGTATCAGAAGGAAAAATAGCTTCCCTAATTCGTCATTTTGTGATAGCAGTGCTGGATTTTTCGGGAAATGTGATAAACAAAAGTAAACTCAGAGTAGAGAAACGGGCAAAGAGAAGACCGCTAATTGGGGTACAGTTTATTGAGGTTACTCACTTAGGGCACTCGGTCTTCCGCTCATCTCGTGCTCAGTGATCGCCTCAGGCTGCTTAGGGCGTGCTCAGGTCTACTCAGTGAACAAAAAGCGGCAAGGGGTGAGCACTAAAACGGAAAGGGAAAGCCATCGACCTGGCGAGAAAATCAAGTACGTATGTTCTTTAGTTCACTCCCTAGAACCGTCTGATACGGTCTTTTGAGATCCGTTATCATCAGATGCGTTGGTCATTGGGATATCGAGACCTTTGGAATCGTTATTGTTTATAACTCTCTTGGAATCGACATGTATCAAGGAATAAGTAACAGTGGTATTCTAGAAGTCTGGTTTGGGGAACAGGGAGTTGATACAGTAGAATGATGGATATGGATAATAGATAGATAAAGAGTGTAGAAGATGAAATTCTAGCAGGAATGAGCAGTTCGACAAGGCCATCAGGGAATACAAGAGATATTCACACATCTCAGCCATCTCCTTAACTTAACTATCCTCCATAGATTCATTCAATCATCGGGTGAATCACTACATAGCTACAACATCAGACCTATAGCAAGATTGACTCCAGGCAGACAAGAAAAAAGGAAAAAAAAAAAAAAGCTTCTTCACAGAATATATACAGTCATTAAATTCGTTCGAACATCTCTCATCGAAAACAGTGACAGATAGATAGACATATGCATACAGATGCAAGCTTCGCCAAAGGAAATCCAATGAGATCCCAACAAACAAACAAACAAAAAAACAAAATCCACATGGTATCGTACTTGAGAAGACTAGAAGACGAAAAAGTCCTGCGTGAGCGGCAGGGTTTCTGCCGGCAGGGCGTCGCAGAGCATGCCATCCGCTTCGACGACGTAGCTTTCCGGGTCTACATGCATCTTGGGCATGGCGTCGTTGTGCTTCATATCGGCTTTGCCGACGTTTCGGCAGTTCTTGACTGCTTCGATGCGCTTCTTGATGCCGTATGATTGCACCGTGCCGGAGTCGATGGAGGCCTGCGAGACCCACATGACGGAAAGACTGGGGACGTTGGCCTGGGCAGGTTAGATATGGCTCAGTAAGATGAGGACAGGATAAACTTACCCCGAATTGGGGCCGCATGATCACCGGTTCGATGGTGGGAATTGAACCGTTAGGATCACCCTGTGTAGGAGATTAGCCGAGTTCTAAGCATGATTTGAAATGGACTCACCATCTGTGCCGCTACAATCATTCCACTCTTCATGATCATAGAGGGCTTGGTGCCGAACGAGCTAGGATGCCACAGCACCAAATCGGCCAGCTTGCCAACTTCAACACTTCCGGTCAGGTGCGACATGCCCTGGGCGATGGCAGGATTGATGGTATATTTGCTGACGTATCGCTTGACACGGAAGTTGTCTGCACCAGTGCCTTCATCTTCCTTCAGCGGACCCCGCTGCTCCTTATTCTTGTGGGCGGTGTTCCACGTCCGCAAGATAACCTCGCCGCAGCGGCCCATGGCCTGAGAATCGGAAGACATCATACTGATGGCTCCAATGTCGTGAAGAACGTCCTCGGCAGCGATGGTTTCAGCGCGGATACGGCTCTCAGCGAAGGCCACATCCTCGGCAATGTTTTTAGACAGGTGATGGCACACCATCAACATATCCAAATGTTCATCCAGCGTATTCATCGTGAAGGGCCGGGTGGGGTTGGTACTACTGGGAAGCACGTTGGGATGCTCAACCACGGAAATGATGTCAGGGGCGTGGCCACCACCGGCTCCCTCGGTGTGGTACGTGTGGATGGTGCGGTTCTTGAAAGCAGCGATCGTCTGCTCCACGAAGCCAGACTCGTTCAGGGTGTCGGTATGAATCATGCACTGCACGTCATACTCATCGCACATGTCCAGGCAGGTATCGATGGCGGCAGGTGTCGAACCCCAATCCTCGTGCAACTTCAAACCGGCAGCTCCGGCCTTGATCTGCTCCACAATGCTTTGTCCGCCGCAATCGTTTCCTTTGCCGGTAATACCAATGTTGAGAGGGATGCTGTCGCACGCCTGGATCATCTGTCGCATGTGCGTGGGTCCCGGGGTACAAGTAGTCGCGTTGGTACCGGTCGACGGCCCGGTGCCACCACCCAGGAAGGTAGTGATTCCGGAAGCGAGCGCCTCGTCGGCCTGTTGGGGACAGATGAAGTGGATGTGGGTGTCGAAACCACCCGAGGTCACGATCTTGTTTTCACCGGCCACCACGTCCGTGGAGGAGCCCACAATCATGTCGGGATGAACCCCATCCATCATATCCGGGTTGCCAGCTTTACCAATGCCAGTGATGATACCGTGCTTAATACCAATGTCCGCCTTGTAGATGCCAGTCCAATCGATGATCAGCGCGTTCGTGATGACGGTGTCCAAGCAGTGTTCGGAGGACTTTTCGGAGGACTGGCCCATGCCCTCGCGAAGACTCTTGCCACCACCGAAACTGCACTCATCACCATACGATGCGTAGTCCTTTTCGACCCTAACCCAGAGGTTTGTCAATCCCAGTCGGACCAAATCACCCGTCGTCGGCCCGAACATTCGCGCATAGGCTTCCCGGTCCATCGTGTAGGGACTAACGAGCGCGGTATCGACCGTCGGGTCGGGAATATGAGCGAAACCTCCGACCTGCAGTCGAGACATGATTTCCTCCGCTCGGCTGAAATCGACCTTGCCCGAGGCCAGGAAATTACCTCCCTTGATGATCTGGTTCCCGGCGATCTGCACGAGGGTGACGGTTTTGGTGTCGCCGGGTTCAAATCGCACCGACGTTCCGGCGGGGATATCAAGACGGTAGCCATAGGCGCGGAGGCGGTCGAAATGCAGTTGCGGGTTCGTTTCGATGAAATGGTAGTGCGAGCCGACCTGTACTCAAGGATCTTCCAGTCAGTCAAAAGAGCCCAATTTGAGCCCGCAAAAAAAAAAAAAAAAAAAAAAAAAAAGCTCAGGACAAACACCTACCTGAATGGGCCGATCACCCCTACTCATCACCCTCAGCTTGATGCGTGTCCGTCCCTCGTTCAAGGTAATGCGCTCATCCTTCACGGGTATAATCGCGCCGGGCATCCTCTCGGGTTCGAAATCGTCGGGGTTGATCTCCGGGAACGCATCGGTCGGCGGAATGGGAAGAAAGCTGCTATACAGCGCCTTCTCCAGATCACCTTCATCGCTACTGATGGGATGGTGAACCGTCACCAGATAGGTTCCGGTCGGGAAGGTTCCTTCGACCTGCAGTTCCACGAGCGTCGAGGGGACAGAAGGGAGGACATGTCGGCGACCGAGCATGGTTTTGCCGATGGACATGAGATCGGCCACGGAATAGAGGCCATCTCGGATCAGCTAATTTGCAGCGTCGGCGGGTCAGCGGACAGATCGGTCAGAGGCCGAGAACTCAAAAGAACTCAACCGGGGGGGGGGGGGGGGAATGGGGTATTTCAACAGCGTACCTCGTGCAGATTCGACGAGATGAGGGCGACGGCTTCGGCATGGTTCAATCGCACACCACGTGCCAGACGACGTTGGGCGAGGAAGCCCAACTGCGAGACGGCGAGCTTGTCGAGCTGCAGCAAATAGAATGAGCGATCAGCTGCAGTTCCAGGCGTCTCCAGGTCAATCCTTGCCGTTACGTACCTCCTTGGGGATGAGGTGCATCGTTGACGGCGGTCAACAGGCGCTGCCCCAATTATTTTTCTCTTGGCCTGCGAATCAGGGATGCGGGACTCGAGCCGATCGGAAAGCCAAGAGAATCAATGTGTGAAGAGGGAGGCTGTGCGGCGAAAATTATACTCCAGGAGGAGCTCTAGAAGCCGGGATGGAAAGAAGGGCTGGAAAAGACAGGCAAGGAGATCGAGGAAACGATCACGAAGAGGCATGGGGGACTGACGAGGGGGATTTAAAAAAAGCCACCACGCGAAAGGAAGCGTAGGCGAAGGTCGGATGCTGCGGTGGGGAAGAAGGACTCAAGTTGGCCGACCTGATAGACTCCCGGGCGTTGATAAGGGCCGCGCGGCCTATCGCAGTTGGCCGCCATTCATTGCCCTGACTAACAGCTTCTCCAGAGCCCTTCGTCGGCAATGAAGGGCGTTCTTCAGCCCTGAAGATAGCATTTCTTGGTTCTTGGGTCTTTCTTGGCCGGCCGATAAGGTCGGTAGTACATAGGTTCCCTTCCCCCGGATTTCCCGCCAAGTGCATTAGCATTTAGTAGAATTTTCCAGTCGCAGCGTCATCTGCAAGACTGCAACACTGCAACACTGCAACATTTCATGCAGGGAGATATCCGTCGGGTACATCGGACCAACAGTAACGAGTCAGTTACTCCGTCTGACTCCTGCCAACAGACCTGTCAGACGGTTTATCCCCCGTAACGAGTTAGTTACATGTACTGCAGTTCACTACTCAGTATACTTAGGAGTCAAGGCTGCTTCATTGCTTACTGTCACTACCCAACAGTAAAGGTCACTTCTACCTATCCCGAAAATGAAAAGCAAAGAGAAAACACCGTCATAGTCCGAAATGTGAAACAGCAAAATGAAAGCCATACATGGTACCTCCAGCCACCAAAGAAACGATCGTAGAAAAGGAACGAAACGAAAAGAAAAAACTCCCTTCAGTACGATTGCCCCCCAGCTTTCCCCAAATATACAGAGTCCGACAAGCTATACAGACACGCCTCCGCTGAAGCCACGGATACCATTTTCAAGAAACACAACAACAAACGCACGGGGATCACATTCATTCTCAGCTAGGTTTTTACTCGTCGGCGGCCTCGCTCTTGCGCTTCTTCTTGCTGCGCTTGTCGGCAGCCGGCTTGCGAGCGGAAGCGGGTGGTTCCTCGGCCGCCTTGCGGGCAGAGGTGCGCTTCTTCTTCTCGGGCGACTCCTTCTTCTCGACAACGGGTGTGGAAGTCTCCTTGGTCTTGCCCTCGCTGCGACGACGCTTAGCACTGGTGCTGCGCGGGGGAGTAGGCTCCTTGATGGGCTCAGGCTCGGATTCTTCCACTTCCTCCTCTTCCTGCTCGGGCTCGGGCTCGGGTTCCTGAACCTCTTCCTCTTCGTCTTCGTCGTCCTCGTCGGTCTCCTCCGCACCGGAGGCAGAAATACCCTCCACGTCCTGCTGGAGCTGGTTGGCAGCCTTGGCGCTGTCATCATCCCCGAAGGGGAGACCGGCCTTGTAGGCCTTCATCTTCTCCTTGTAGACGGCAAGGTTGTCGGCGTACAGCTTCTTCCAGACCTAGTTTCGCAGAGTATTAGTGCAAGTCCACGTGTCACATGACCGGCTCGGGAAGGGTCCTTACCTCCTTCTGCGCATCGGGCATGTCAGCCCAGCGGTGAGTTCCCTCGTCGGAAACGTCCTTAGGCTTGGCCGCGGAGCCCAGTTCTTCCGCAATCTTGGCGCGGTTGTGCTGCATGTAGAGGAAGAACGGGGTCAAGGCACGCTTGGGGGCGTTGGGGTCAGGAGGAGCGCGCTTGCGCTTTTTCTTCTCGCCCACCTCCGACTTGGCGCCGGGGCTGGTAGGACGAGCGCCCAGGAGGCCACTTTCGAAGAGGGTGTTGGTGATTCCGCTGGTGAGACCTCCGAAGTCAATGCTGGAGGAGCCAGGGTTCAGGACCGAGTTGGTGTGGTTGATGTAGGCGCGCGACAGGTCCGAGACGGCGGACTGCAGTTGCGCCAGGCTGATGATGACCTGGGTGTATGTCAGTTGGGCCTGGTCGCTAGGAAACGTGGCGACGGCGTGAACACCCGAAGTGGCGCCATGAATGGAAGAAGTAGCACGAGCGATACTCGCGACGAGGTCACGGGCGGGGAGGGCAGACCGCGACGAGTTGGAGTTGGACTGGGAATACGGGATACGACCGTGGGGGTGGGGGGTAGAGGCGCGTCGGGCCATGACGAATTCGGCAGTCAAGAACCACGAAGCAAAAAAAGGAACAACAGAGAAAAGGAACACGAAGCCGTGGTACGGTGTGAAGAATCTTGGGTATCAGGGGAGAAGAGTGGGATGAAAAGGGGAAAAGGAAGGACACAAAGAGCTTGTGACTTCGGGGAGGAACTTAGGGGGGGACGGGTATAGTGAGGAGCGTCACGACCAGGGGAGGGCGGCAGCTTTGTTTACGGACGCGTGGGAAGTGGGAAGTGGGAAGTGATGTGTAGAGAGTGCGGGAGTTGACAGCGCTGCGCCCGACACCCAAATTGGGGGGGCGCCGGCACAAACGGGGAGGGCAACTTACACTGTCGCGGGTCTTAGTGTAATCCTCGACATTGACGCTAACCACGGCATCTTTGGCCTTCGAATCTTCTTTGCGCGACATGGTGAATGACAGTAATACGCGATAAAGGATTCAAATTTCGCAAAAGAGAGAAGGAAAAAGAGAGAGAGGAAGGAAGAGAGAGGAAAGAAAAACAGCGGCGATGGGCAGAGAGAAAAGAATTTTCGCTAGCGGGGTCGCGTTCGGAGGGGAGGGCCCTACTAAATAGCGCAGGGCGGCTGCTGGGGCGCTGCTGCCTCGCTGTTTTGGGCTTAGGATCCCGTTAGTGTGCTTCACCTCTCGGGAGAGTCGGGCTCTTCAACCCTGGCGAACAGTCCTGGACCTGCCCTCTCGGCCGCGAGTCGCACTGCAGGGGGGAGGAAGAGGGGGGTTGCCTCCCTTTGTCTCCCTCTTCCACTTCCAGGTGACCTTCCCCCCCTCTCCCGTCCTACGGTAACCCGGGGGGTCGCCGGTGGCTGACGGGCCTCGCACCCGGCGCCTGAAAAGTCTCTGCTTCAGTGAACACCTCCATCGCGTGCAGTCATCTGCACGTCTTTCATTTCCGAGGAATCCGATCAATTCATTGTCGGATTTTGCCTCGTATTGCCAGGATGTCATCTCTAGATCCACAGATCATTTTTGATCCATTCATCAATCATATATAAAATATAAATCTCCACGCTCCACCTTCGGCCCTCCGCTCTGTGTGCGGTGAAGGGCGACCAGCCCATTGTCCGGCCGCCCTCGATTGTCTTCTGGTCGCCGGGCTGGCGCTTGACCCCTCCTTCACGGGCGCCGCGCTTACGGACATCCGTTTTGTCTCAGAGATCCTAACCCCAAGTCCGACCCAGAAAAAGAACTCGAATTTTCTCCTTCAACTTCTTCTAGGAAAAAAAAAAAAAAAATTATAAGAAGAATCAATTAGAGGTTTTCTCCACCAGGTCTCATGATTTTTCGCAGTCAATCCATCCAAAAATAAAATAAAACAAAATAAAATAAAATAAAATAACCATAGGAAGTAGACATAGGGTGGTGACTAACCCATCGCTGAAGAGAAAAAAAAAAAGTTCCAACGTCAACGTGCAACTGACACCGTTGTGTTTCTCTGGTTCAGGTTCAGCCGCCGAATCCACAGAGCAGTGCCATGTACCTTTTGCAGCCACTTCATACCACTATGATCCCGTCTCCCCAGGTGACATCATTATATATATCCTAGACTGTGGCCAAACCCGTCTCTCCAGACCAGATCCATATTATCGGTTGGGCGGTTGGACCCCGAATGCCACGATTGCGACGATTCTCCTCATCTTGATCCTCGATTCTTTTACATTCTTGACCCGGTCTTTTCTTTACTTAATCATACGATATTTATTCATTTGTTCATTCGGTCTTAAAAAGTCCCGTCCAAACAACACAGCGCTTTCTCGTTCTCTTTCTCCGGCACACCACCCCGCCGTTGACTGTCTATCTACATTTACTACCGAGTACCTATTTAGTATCTAGTCGACTTTCAGGTAGCTCCAGCTAGCCAGCTACCCTAAGCCTCACCGGACAGCTTAGCCCTCCATCACCACCCACCCCAAACAAACCTAGCTAGCTATCAGTCTAGTCACAACACTAGCACCCTAAACCCAGCCCCCAACCAAAAAAACATGTCAACAATATCATACATCCTCGTCTACGAAGGCTCCCCCCTCGACTACGCCGAATACCGCCACACAGCGCTTCACTTCATCTTCCCACGAGGTCTCACAACGACAATGCACGTGGTCGGCACGCAAGGACTCTTCCAGTTCGAGGAAGACATCGACCAGGACCCCAGCGAGGGCGGAAACCTGGTGAAGACGATCACGGTCGGTCCCTTGACGGGGTCGATCAGCGCGGCGGCGCTGAAGAAAGCGGTCTCCGCGACGCCGGTCAAGAACGGGCGCAATGATCTGGAGTGGAATTGTCAGAACTGGGTGGGTGATGCGCTCGCCGGGTTGGTGGAGATCGGGTACTTGAGTGAGGTGCAGAGGACTGGGGCGATTGATCAGATGTTGGATGCTTGTTTGGAGGCGAAGGATGAGTGATTTTGTCTTTTTTTTCTGCTGGATTTATATATTTTCTTTCTTTCTTCTGGTGGGTACTATTCTGTTGATCTGGTGATTAGGGCTGATGATTGATATACCAATTTTTTTGGGATTTTATTTTCTCTCTCTTTCTTTGGTCATTGACGTCGAAGTATGTACATACCTACATAACTACAATGATATCAAACATGGCACTTCATTCCCGACTTTGGCTATTAACTAAACCAGCCCAGCAATACCCAATTCCATGCCCTCGAACCAAAAGGCCAAAAGAACCTATACCTCTACCAAGGAACCACTCTCTGGTTCTAATGATGATAATGATGACGATGACGCGATATCAAATGCTATTGCAAGCGCTCACGGTTAGGATAATACAGTCATACTCATAGCACGAATCCCCAATCGCTATCCGTCTCCCACTGATGTATGTACTGTACCTTACTGTATGTAAGTCTCATACATCACATCTAATGTCATCTAGCGCTTAGCTGTCAATAAATAAACTCCGCCTTACCCATGCCCCGTCCCACCTTATCGTCTGTCATACGGAGGGAGGGCCGAAGGACCGGTCTCAATGATCTGTTCCATATTGCGCGTCTAGTGAAAACCAATCTTATTCAATATCTAGTTAGCTAGTTCTAGATAGCTTCTCATCACTAATAATATATAATCTATAGTATCATCTCCCGGCTCTTTATTCTTTTCTTTTTTTCTTTTTTTCTTTTATATATTTTATATATTTTCGAAATATATATTAATCCTACCCGCTTATAATTAGAAGAAACGGGATCTTTGCATCAACAACCCCCTTTTATTATCTCATTGATCGAACCCCGCTCAAGATATTTAGGTTTTATCTGATATCATGCCCCGGTCGTCCCCTCTCTCCCCCGCACGCCTTGCCAAGGTACTGTACATACCCGTGAGGTGAGGTGAGCGGGAGCACCGGCCCCGGGCCATGGGTCTAGGTAATATGTACTTAGTTCGTAGGGTGGTGTGCTGCTATTAGCTAATTAATAGTTAGTAGCTAGGTAGGAGTCTACGCTGAGGTGTAACATTTCGAACAGTATATAGTGTATAAAATCGAGCTGAAGCTGGGATCAAAGACCTTCCTCCTTGGTTATTTATGAGGGTAGCTATTTGGTTATGTTATTCAGTTTAGGTGTACATACCTAAACACAGGGGTAAGGTGGATGATTGATTAGAGCTTTGACATCCAATGACTGGGGCAATGTACAGTACAGTACACATTATGTATGGTGTTTGGTTACTATGACATGCTATTATATAGCGGGGTGTTTTAGCTCTACAGAACAGAAGTATGGAGCTTGAACAAGTTCACCATAAAGATAATGTAAGATATAGCTCGATATATGTCACAAGTGATATCCAATTCGCTAATGGTATTCCCTAATATAACAGTCCCAGAATGAATACATCCAGAAAATCAATCTCTAGTTCTTTTCTTTCTCTTTTTTTCATCTAAAAAAGCGTCTAGAACTTGAAGACCTGGTCCTTGTTGTATCCAAGCTCGGCCAAGATACCAGTCAACTCACCCTGATCCTTAGGGCTGATCTTGTTTCCGCTAATAGCCTTATACAGGCCAGGAGGTCCACAGACGAAGAGCTTGATGTTATCCTCCTTAGGCTCAGGGAGGACCGTCTTCAGGAGCTCCTTGTTGATGAAGCCCTCGCCACCAGTCCAGCCCTTAGGGGGCTTGTCAAGGACATAGAAGGCCTTGAAGCGCTGGGGGTAAGTGTTCTCCAGATCCTGGAGCTCCTTCTTCAGCAGGATGTCGTCCTCAGTGACGTTACCGAACACCAGGGTGACCTTGGTCTTGTCCTCGGGGTTCTTGAAGATCTGGCGCGCCAGCTGGTACATGGGCGTGATACCCGTGCCGCCGGCAATCAAGCAGACGTGGTTGTGCTTGTTGGACTCCCAGGGGTACTTGAGGAGGGGGCCCTTGAGGGACAGGCGCTGGTCGACGTTCATGCTGTGCAGGTGCTCGGACATGGCGCCGCCGGGGTAGACCTTGACGACGAGGTCGAGGAAGCCGGGTTGCTCTGGATCATGGGTTAGTGATCGCTTGCGTATGAGATGGTTGGTGGGGGGATGGCTTACCCTCATCGCTGGTGGGAGTGTAAGGACGGATAGTAGCCTTCTCGCCGGGCTTGTTGAACTTGGCCAGAAGAGCGGCTAGAGTGATTTGTTAGAAATCTGCCAGTACGCGAACCAATTGGCAATCGAAGAGAGAAAAAGCTCACAAGCAACCTGAACACCGGAGACGGCGTCCTTGTCTTCGAACTCAAAGCGCAGTCGCTTGGTGTTGTGGCTGAGAATCTCAACCTCCGACAGCTTCAAGTCCACCCATCCCTGGTCACCACCGGTGAAAACCTTGGGGCGATCGACGGGAGCCTCGGCGGTGGCAGCGCTCGAGTTGTAGCGGTAGAATCCAACGCCGAGACCGGTGACGCCGACGGCGGCGTAGATGGGAGCCAACGACGACTTGGGCTTGGGCGCCTCGGTAGAGTATTTACGGAAGCCCTGCAGACAGGCACGAGATTAGCAGAGTGTCCCCAAGGTTGATGGAAGAACGAATTAAACCAGAAGAAAAAAGGAAAGAAAAAGCATACCTGCTTCAGAGGCTGGGCGCAGCGGAAGGCCTGACGAGCGAACATCTTGTCAATTGAGGAACAAGCCGGTCAATGCTTAATGGATCGATAATGCGGGTGAAAAGAGAAGAGGAGTTGGCAGGGCGAGAGACACCACTAAGTAGCTGCGTCGCTTTCGGCGGTCCGCCCTCCGAGCCCGAGTTCCCACATGACGCAATGGCCCTGGGAAAATCACCGTAATTCCGTGCGCCATTACTAAGGGCACCCGCGTAAGCCATCTCCCCGTCGGATTGAGATCTGGGGATTGCAGCGTTGGCTGCATGAACGATCGGGTGTTACTCGGAGTGTGTATGAATGTTCCAATGACATGTATCGT